TTGTGATATTTTTAATTATAAAAAGTAATTAAAAACAACAAAGCTCTTTTTTCTTTTTCTTTTCTTTGTGCTTGCTTTTTTTTGTTCTTTCTTTGTTAATTTATTTATCTCATGCTTTTATTTTCAAATTTTTTATTTTTTTTATTAATTAATTAATCTTATTATTTCATATTTTTACTTCATTTTTTCCTTCAAATTAACTATTTAATGATATATTTTTTCTTCAATATTTAAAAAGTGAGAATTAAATTGGTGATGAAGGTGCATCAGGCTTAGGTTCTGGTTTAGCAAATTGCATTAATCTCTCAAATTTGACACTTGACTTTAAGTAAAAACAGTTTATTTGTTTTGAATTGTGATATTTTTAATTATAAAAAGTAATTAAAAACAACAAAGCTCTTTTTTCTTTTTCTTTTCTTTGTGCTTGCTTTTTTTTGTTCTTTCTTTATTAATTTATTTATCTCATGCTTTTATTTTCAAATTTTTTATTTTTTTTATTAATTAATTAATCTTATTATTTCATATTTTTTCTTCATTTTTTCCTTCTAATTAACTATTTAATGATATATTTTTTCTTCAATATTTAAAAAGTTCCAATAAAATTGGTGATGAAGGTGCATCAGGCTTAGGTTCTGGTTTAGCAAATTGCATTAATCTCTCAAATTTGACACTTTACCTTAGGTAAAATCAGTTTATTTGTTTTGGATTGTGATATTTTTAATTATAAAAACTAATTAAAAACAACAAAGCTCTTTTTTCTTTTTCTTTTTCTTTTTATTGTGCTTGCTTTTTTTTGTTCTTTCTTTGTTAATTTATTTAGCTCATCCTTTTATTTTCAAATTTTTTATTTTTTTTATTAATTAATTAATCTTATTATTTCATATTTTTTCTTCATTTTTTCCTTCTAATTAACTATTTAATGATATATTTTTTCTTCAATATTTAAAAAGTTCCAATAAAATTGGTGATAAAGGTGCATCAGGCTTAGGTTTTGGTTTAGCAAATTGCATTAATCTCTCAAATTTGGAACTTTCCCTTAGGTAAAAACAGTTTATTTGTTTTGGATTGTGATATTTTTAATTATAAAAAGTAATTAAAAACAATAAAGCTCTTTTTTCTTTTTCTTTTTATTGTTCTTGTTTTTTTTTGTTCTTTCTTTGTTAATTTATTTAGCTCATCCTTTTATTTTTAAATTTTTTACTTTTATTATTAATTAATTAATCTTATTAATTCATATTTTTTCTTCATTTTTTCCTTCTAATTAACTATTTAATGATATATTTTTTCTTCAATATTTAAAAAGGTCTAATTAAATTGGTGCAAAAAGTGCATCAGGCTTAGGTTCTGGTTTAGCAAATTGCATTAATCTCTCAAATTTGACACTTGAACTTAGGTAAAAACAGTTTATTTGTTTTGAATTGTGATATTTTTAATTATAAAAACTAATTAAAAGCAAAAAAGCTCTTTTTTCTTTTTCTTTTCATTGTGCTTGCTTTTTTTTGTTCGTTCTTTGTTAATTTATTTAGCTCATCCTATTATTTAAAATTTTATTCTATTTTGATATTTATTTAAAATTTACACAAATTTATTATAAAATATTAGCCTAAAGAATGAATCATAAAAATTCAAAGTAATAAGCAAGTGTCTTAAATCAAAAAGATTAGTTGTCTTTAAAATATTATTCTGGTGATAAACAAGTCACGAAAAAAGGATGAATGAATCAATATTAAATGTTTGAATAATATTATATAATATTTTGAAAAGTTTTTTTAAATCTAAAATATAAACTGATATATAGATAGATTTTATTATTGATTTTATATTTATAAATATTATTCATATTTATTTTTGTAAGTTAATAAATTATTTATAATAAATAAAAAAATTAAATTTACTTAAATAAATTAATTCCTCTTAAGTAACCCTATGGTTTCTCCAAAAATGATCAAATAATTTGAACCTGTTAGTGTTATATTATTTCTTTTTAAAAAAAACCGGTTTTCTAAAAAAATTTTGTAATTCTTAATCCAATTTTAGAAAAAGTTTGTATTATATATAATATAATACTATTTTATCAATATCAATCAATCATTATTTATAGTATTTTAGTAATATTTAGGCAATTAATTTGAATCATATTTTATAAATATAAAATTCTAAGAACTTATAATTATTTATTTAAAATTTCATTTAAATATTATTTTAGCTTCAATATATATATTCTTTTATTTCTATTAATAATTAAATACTTAATAAATATTCTTTTACATGTAAATAATTTAGAATAAAAATCAAGAAATCAAATTTATAAGAATAAAATAAATTTAAATAAAATTTTATTTCAGAGTTTTTTAGTTGAATTAAAATAATATTGTTTATTAATAAAATTTAAGATTGATTAATATGTATGTATGTATGTATGCTTTAGATATTTTTATCTTAATTTTACGCAACCCTTTTTAATATTCAAAATTTTTGATAATTTGAGGGTGTTTATTTTACAAATCTTATTTCTTCATTCAAACTAAAAATCAATGCACTCAGTAATGTAGTAAAGCACTTTGATGTTTAATAAAAATAAATCTAATAATAAATAAATATTTAGTTAATTAATAAATTAAATTTTAGTCTAATATTTTCTTTGTTCTAAGTAATTAAATTAATCAAATAAATAGATAAATAACAATGTTAAGCTCATATTTTATCAATATAAAATTAATGATTAATTTTTTACATCTATTTAAATAAAAAGTTTTAATCTAATATTTTCTTTGTTCTAATTAATTATATTAATCTGATAAATAACGCAATCTACCTCATATTTATTAATATATATTGAATTATTAATTAATTCACATCTATTTATTGCAATAAATTAAAATCTTATCTTTTCTATATTCTATTTATTCTAAGTAATTCGATTAATCTGATAAATAACATAAATCATATTTTATCAATATAAATGGATTGATCAATTCATTCATATCTATTTATTATAATAAATTATAGTATAATGTTTTCTTTGTTCTAGTTTAATCTAAATAATTAGATTAATCAAATAAATAAATAAACAGTAAAGCTCGTATTTTATCAATGTAAATTAAATAATTAATTTATTAATTTTCATCTATTATTATAAATTATTACTGCTCAGCTAAAAAGAGAAAATGTAATAGAGTAATAATAGGAAATTGTGAGAGATATTTAATGTCTTTTATTTATTTACCTATTAGGTAGTCTATTATAAAATTGAAAAGCATCTATATCAAACTTAATAAATAAATTATTAAATTAAAGTAGAACGCACTCAGTTTCCTACTTTAAATACTTGGGAGGGAATTAATTGATAAATAATTAATTAATTAAAAAAACAAAATATTAAAAGTAAATTAATAAGTAAATAAATAAATAAATAATACTTCAAATAGTTATCAGATAACCTGGTTTCTTTCTATTAAAAAAAAAAATTCAGAATTAACAATTAAAAACTCCGTAAATAATTAATTTAAATATAGTTTCTATTTATTATATAATAGGAACCAACAAATAAATAAATAGTCGATGTAGCAGGTTAACCAAATTACATTGGATAACTCAGGCTTATCTAAAGCTGATGAGTTCAGCATAGATCCAATTTAATAATAAATTCCTGAAACCTTAGTTAAATAAGATTATAGCCTTTAATAACTAGAAAAAATACATCTCACTAGCATTGGAATGAGAGAAATGAGAGAGCTTACTAACACAATACGTCTTCAAACATCTCAAATTTGAATACAGACTATAGCACAAGTTAGTAGATAAGACGATAAGAAAACAACACATCAAATTCATATTAAGATGAGTCTAACTTCATTTTTTCTTCTGAGGAAAATGATAATTCTACTATTTATAATAAATTTCAATTATGTTATTCATTATTTTTTTTTAATATATAAAACATTCAATTTTATAAAATATTTTATTAGAAGCCTAAGATAATATAAAATTAGTTCAAAAATATCTTACTACAAAAGACCCTTTCACAATCAAAAATGATACAGAGGAACATTCAACAAAAAAAGTAAAACTTTGGGTAAAAATTATACTATTAGCTTATTTTTTTTATTCAATAAAAATATTTTGATACATAAATACATAAACACATAAATACTTAGTTCAAAAATAAATTATTTTTTTATGAATTAAAAGAAATATTTATTATGCTACTAAATATATTTCCTAATAGCAAAATAATTATTTAAGAATAGGTTGATTTTATTTATCCAAATTTATTTATTAATCTTCAAATACAAATAAATAAATAAATATTTATTTATTTTTTTAACTAAATTTAAGCTTAAAAATAAAGATATGCCTACTTAACCAATCAATAATAATGACGATTTAAGGAATTCAAATGAGTATTCTATTTATGAACAATAACTATTGTAAGTAGTAGATAATCTAATAATAAATAATAGAGAAAATGAAATTATATTTTAAGTAGCAATAACTTTTTCAAATATTAATTTCTTTCTTTATCACACAACAAAAAATTTAAAATCAAGCTAAAGATAGGAGAAAATAAATACTAATAATAATCTTAATAAATAACAAAATTATTTTTGTCTGTGTGGTAAATTTTACTAATCTACAAAAGAAATGACATCTTCTTTATATAATCATTTAAAAATTAAACACTTTTAAAATTTGAAATAGAACAATAATTAATATAATAGCTATTTTAAAATTTATAAACCTTTTAGCTTTTACTTAGGTATTACATCCTCTTTAGATAAATACTTTAATTACTTCGAATCTTACATTACCACTTTACTAAAAAGCTAATTATTTTAATATTACTATTATAAAAATGTTTTTGGATTAGATTTTATTGAACAATTATTATTAGATATCTTAAATGGAGAATAAATTATTTAAAAATACTTTAACGAATTATAATTAAATCTAGAGAATATTATGCCTTTATCTTCAAATGATCAAAATAATAATCTTAATAATCCAAAATTAAAAAGAAAATAAAGAATTTCTTACTCTTAAAATGAAGAATTTGAATAAATTTAAAAAAAGACAAAGACAGAAGAATAAGACTCTTTTAATTCTATGAAATAAAATATCTATTTGCCATCTTAATTGTATACATTTGAAGGAAATAACAAATCAACTGATTTGGATATAATCTCACCAAAAAAGGATGAACCTAAATATACCATAATTAATGATATCATGAATATATAACAATTTGATATTAATGGAGACAATAAATTTGCTTAATCAATATGCTAAAAAAAGATTATTCCTCGCTATATCATAACAGATAAAGGAATCCTTTAATTCAATTCTTCAGATATTAATTATGTTAGTCGATTTGGTAAAGGCAGTAAAGTAGAATGGAGTCTTGATAAAAATAAATAGAAAACTATGAGAAATGAATAAGTTCTATTAGAAGCTTTAAAATAATTTGGAAAAAAGAAACCTATATTGTCTGCTTTAGCTGCAATTCCTCTTTCTAATAACCCCACATTTTTTTGGAAATGTTAATATACAGAATAAAGCTAATTAGGAATAATGAATGATGTATTCTATCTATTATAGTAATATTTACCATATGATAAAATTTCTGGATTTAGAGTTTAGAGATTTGAATTCGAAGATATAGAAGACATGAAAAAAGTAATCAATGACTATTCACCAGCTTACAAAGAAAAATTACTTGTCCCTCTGTACTTTGGTTAGAAAGGAGACAACTATCTTGAAATAATTGATCAACTAAAAATTAATAGTAATTAAAAACTAGTCGTGTTAAAATGGATAGATCAAGCTCATTGGGAGTCTGATATCTTTTATCAAGGCAAGCATTTTTCTTCCAATTTAAATCTAGAAGAAACAAGGTCTGAAATGATAGATGTTGAATAAATGCAATTCAGTATCTTTTTATGGTAAGATGGAGAATATGAAGATAAGGTAAAAAGGAAGATAGAATAAGATATTTATAAATCATTAAATTTAATACCAGATTGTGTACAATGTTTATTGCCATCACGCTTTTATAGTGATACTCTTTACATAACATAAAATATTAGTGATTGGTAATTAGAATTATAATATTTATTTAATCAATAAATATGATCAATCTATCTATTTGTTTGTTGTTTATATATTTAGTAAGTAAATAAATTTAATTTTCATTTATACTTTTTTAGTTAATATAGCTGTTCCTGCATTTGAAATATCATGGATCATGATATTTCAAATAATTTTTATAATATTGTTTTTCTTTATTTTACACATAATTTTTTGATATCCAAAATTTTTGAAAATTTGAGGTGGATATTAATAATTTATTTATAGATAGATAGATCTTTTTCTTTGTTCTAACTAAAAATGAAAAATACTTAATCAGGTTAAGCAACTAATTTAATAATTATAAATTGAATATAATTTATTTTTAGTTAATATCTTAATTAATTATGGTCTAACATAATTGCCAAATGAGAAAGAGAAATTGTATTGCAGTAACAATTGTAATTATTTGCGCTACTTACTTTATTTACTAACTTTTAGATGAATATCAATTTGAGTACTTTAAAATTTTAAAAAACACTATTTCATAAATAATTACTAATAGATAAAAAAATCATTTTATTTGAAATTTGAATAAATTTTTTGATTGATACTAACAAAAAATAAATATGATAGACATTTATTTAGTGGATTTATTTATTTACTTATCAGGGAGTCAATTGATTTTACATCAGAAACTATTTAATTTAAAAGTGTTTTATTTTTTATTTAATAAACTTAACATTAAATTAGAGAGTACTGAATTTTTTTCCGACTTTAAATACTTTCGGATAAGAATTAAGAGATAAATTATTTATTAAATAAATAACTAAATATTAAAAGTAGATAATTAATAATTCTTTGAATACTCAATATACAATCTAGTTTTTCACAGCAAAAATAAACTCAGCAAAAGTGATTAAAAACTCATTTAACAATTTATGAAAAATAATATATTTTTATATTTCATAATAGGAGCCAGTAAATCAATAAAAAATCGATGCAGAAGGTTGATCAAATTATATTGGATGACTCAGCCTTAAGTAAAACTAATGAGTTCAGCATTGAGTAAATTTAATTATCAACTAATCGTACCTTAGTTAAATTAGATGATAGCCTTCTGTAACTAGATTATGGTAGATCTTTCTTATAGCATAAAGATAGAGCTTATTATTAAAAGATGTCCTCAAATATCTCAGATTAGTAAACAAACTAATGCGCTAATTATACAACAGAAAGTTAAGAATTCAATTAATCAAATTCATATTAAGATGAGCCTAACAATTCTGAGTAAAAAGATAATTCTACTATTTATAATATTGATGAATATAAAAAAAGTAATTCACTCATTTTTTAATTATCATAATAAAACATTTAATTTTATTAAATATTTTATTAGAAGCCTAGGATAAATTAAAATTAATTCAAGAATATCTTTCTGTAAATGATCCATTAGCAATCAGCAATGATACAGAGAAATAATCAACAAAAAAAAGAAAAATTAGTGTACAAATTAATCTATTTGTTTATTTGTTCTTTTATTTTGTTTTTTCTAGAGTTTTTCTTTTTTTATTAAATAAAAATAAATATTTATTTATTTACTCGAATGCTAATATTTATTGAATTTTTAACAAAATATAAGCGAAATAGTGAATCATAAATGATAGCTGAACCAATTAATGATGATGATAAAGAAAATTAAAATAAATTTCTTCTTTATGAATAAAATCTATTGTAAATAGTAGATAAACTAATATAAAATAAAAGAGAAAAAGAAATTACATTTTAAGTAGCAATAACATTTTCAAATATTAATTTCTTTCTCGATTACACAACAAAAAATTTAATGTCAAGTAAAAAATAGGATCAGAAAAAGTAAATGAAAAATGACATTATAATATAACAAAATTATTATTGTCTTTGTGGTAAATTTTACTAATAAATTATAAAAAGAAATGCATCTTCTATGCATAATCATTTAAAAGTTAAACACTTTTAAAAATCAAACGAGAAGAAAAACAGGTACAGCGGCTATTTATAAATTTATAAAAATTTTCATGACTATACTGGTCAAGGATCTTCTTTAGAAAAATACTTTAATCGCTTCAAATCTTACATTAATACATTATTAGATAGTAAATTGTTTGAATATTACTTTTAAAAAAATCTTTATGGATTAGCTTTGATTGAACAATTATTATAAGATATCTTAAATGGCGAATAAATTATAGAAAAATATTTTAGAGACTTATAATTTGAATTAGAGAATCTAAACCCTTCTACCTCTTCAGATAATCGTAATAATAGTCCTATTAATCAAAATTTATAAAGAAAATAAAAAATTACTTAAACTTAAAATGAAGAATTTGAATAAATATAAAAAAAGACAAAGACAGATGAATAAAAAACTAATAATTATAGGAATTAAAATGACTACAATAAAACTCCATAATTTAGCTTGGATACATCTATTAACAAATAATAAACAGAAATAAAGAAAATAAATCCTTCTTCTTCTTAAAATAATAATAATAATAATAATAGTCCTAATAATCCAAAATTAAAGCGAAAATAGGAAATTTCTTACTCTTAAAATGAAGAATTTGAATAACTAAAAAAAAATATAAAGATACAAGAATATAAATATGAAGATTTCAATTCTATGAAATAAAATGACTACAATAAAACTCCATAATTTAGCTTGGATACAACTTTTAACGAATAATAAACAGAGCTAAAAAAACTAAATCCTTCTTCCTCTTAAAATAATAATAGAAATAATAATCCTAATAATCCAAAATTAAAACGAAAATAGCAAATTTCCTACTCTTAAAATGAAGAATTTGAATAAATATAAAAAAATATAAAGATACAACAATATAAATCTTTCAATTCTATGAAATAAAATGACTAAAATAAAACTCCATAATTTAGCTTGGATACAAATTTTAATGAATAATAAATAGAGCTAAAAAAACTAAATCCTTCTTCCTCTTAAAATAATAGTAATAATAATCCTAATAATCCAAAATTAAAACGAAAATAGCAAATTTCTTACTCTTAAAATGAAGAATTTGAATAAATTGAAAAATAGACAAAGATAGAAGAAGAATATGAATCTTTCAATTCAAACATGAATTAAAATTACTGCAATAAAACTCCATAATTTAACATGGATTCAACTATTAAAGAATAATAAATAATGTTAAAGAAAATAAATTCTTCTTCTTATTAAAATTGCAATAATAGTCTTAGTAATCCAAAATTAAAACGAAAATAACAAATTACTTACTCTTAAAATGAAGAGTTAGAATAAATATAAAAAAAGACAAAGACAGAAGAATAAAAGGAATTTTTTAATTCTATGAAATAAAATATCTATTAGTCATCTTAATTGTATACATTTGAGGGATATAGCAAATCATTTGACTTGGATATAATCTCACCAAAATAGGATGAACCTAAATATACAATAATTAATTATATCATGAATATTAAACAATTTGATATTAATGGAGACAATAAATTTGCTTAATCAATATGCTAAAAAAAGATTATTCCTCACTATATAATGACAGATAAAGGAATCCTTTAATTCAATTCTTCAGATTTTTATAATGTCAGTCGATTTGGTAAAGAAAGTAAAGTAGAATGGATTCTTGATCAAAATAAATAGAAAACTATGAGAAATGAATAAGTTCTATTAGAAGCTTTAGAATAATTTGGAAAAAAGAAACCTTTATTGTCTGCTTTAGCTGCAATTCATCTTGCTAATAACCCCAAATTTTTTTGGAAATGTTAATATACAGAATAAAGCTAATTAGGAATAATGAATGATGTATTCTATCTATTTTAGTAATTTTTACCATATGATAAAATTTCTGGATTTAGACTATAGAGATTTGAATTCGAAGATATAGAAGACATGAAAAAAATAATCAATAACTATTCGCCAGCTTACAAACAAAAATTACTTGTCCCTCTGTACTTTGGTAAGAAAGGAGACAACTATCTTGAAATAATTGATCAACTAAAAATTAATAGTAATTAAAAACTAGTCGTGTTAAAATGGATAGATCAAGCTCATTGGGAATCTGATATCTTTTATCAAGGCAAACATTTCTCCTCCAATTTAAATATAGAAGAAGCAAGGTCTGAAATGTTAGATGTTGAATAAATGCAATTCAGTATCTTTTTATGGTAAGATGGAGTATACGAAGATAAGGTAAAAAGGAAGATAGAATAAGATATTTATAGATCATTAAATTTAATACCAGATTGTATACAATGCTTATTGCCATCACGCTTTTAAAGTGATACTCTTTACATAACATAAAACATTAGTGATTGGTATTTAGAATTATAATATTTATTTAATCAATAAATATGATCAAAATATATGCTTGTTTACATATTTAGTAAGTCATTAAATTTTATTTTCATTTTTTATTTTTTTTATTTCATTTTTATTTTATTCATTTATGTAAATTTGAATAATTTTTTTGAAATGTTGAAAATAAATAATTGTTTTTAAAAATAAACCATTTTTTACTTAATAAAGCTTTATCAAATTTTTAGTTTTTATTTGTTTTTCAAGCAGGACATAAAGATAAATTTTTTTCAGTTTTACAACCACTTTCTTACTTTAAGTATTTTGTTTCAACCTTTATTTTAAAATAATTAAAATATTGACCTACCTACCTACCTAAAATTTTGATGAATTAAAACTTAAGACATCTATAGCAAATTATTTTATTTAAATATTAAGTTTGTACTACGGACTTAAATTAAATAGCTTCTTATATTTTTTGCCATGGTTAAAAAAGCTTGAAATGCTTACTTGCTATTTTTCAATTAAAATATTGGTAAATATTAATTCTGATGAAAAGAAATTCAAAATGATTAATGTCTAGTAGTTTTTTACTGAATTAATTTCTAAAAAATATTTAATAATTATACAAAGAGACGAAAATAAATTGAATTTAGTAGAACATTAATTAATTTACAAGTAAAAAAAATGCAATGAACTTTTAATTTATAAAGGAAAAAATTAATGTCTACTTGTTTTTTATTAAATTAATTTCTAATCAATACTTAATAATAATTCAAAGAGACGAAAATTGAATTTTGTAGAACATTAATTTACAATTCATGAAAATACAATTAACTTTTAATTAGAAAGGAAATATTGTTTGATAGCACATTTATAAGAATTTCTTTAATTTAAATAATATAATCCACACAATTTTGTCAAATAGGCTTATTTTCTACTTTAAAAATATTGTTTTATTATTGAGAAAATTGTTTAGATTCATTTAGATTTCTACTTAGGATTAACTAATATTTCTAGTAGAATGAGTTGCTTTTAAAACTTACTTTTTTTTATTAAATATGATTACAGCTTTATATTTTAATTAATTTTGTTTTGACTCTCTAGTTACATTGATTGTTATAAGAAGTATGCTATGGCAAATTTAATAATGAAGTCAAAATTATAAAATTTCCTTTATTTTTTAAGTCTATTGCAAATTATTTATTATTTTAAAAATTTTTTATGTCGCCTGTTGATGTTTACAAGCCTTTTTGTTGTAAAAAGTAAGTTATTTAATTTTAGAAATTAAAAATCAAGCGTTATTTGCTTTATTTTTCAGATAATTTTAGGTGGCTTTTTTGACTTTCAAACGACTCTAAAATAAATTTGTTTATTAATTGTAAATCTGTAAACTGTAAATCACCAATTTTAAAATATTAATGAAGAGCCTCAAGAAATTGAATAAATACTATGTTTATTATGTATCTATTTCTACTATAAATAAATGTCAAAGTAAACTATTTATAATAGCTAATTTAATGACAATTTTGAAAATACTTAATTTTGTATTTATTTCAAATACGCTGCTTTCTTTAAAGCCAAGTATATAATAATGTTTATTGTCCTACCTATCATAAAACACTACAAACTATTTATTCTTTTTACTAAGTTTATTTAGAAATTTAAATTTGTTCTAATTTATTTTAGTTTCCAGTAAGTAAATATTTCTTATAGAACATTAAAAAAAATGAAAAAATATAAAGATATGAATATGTAATGAGCTTAGTTATTACTAACAAAATTTAAAAATAGTAAAAATCACTTTGAAGAATAATACTCTACTTTTTGATGAAAATACAGTATTCAATTAGGAGTTATTAATTGGAGATTTAGGTGAATGAAACGTATTTCTATCAATTAGGTAATTATGCTTAATAGAGAGAGAAACTTGAAATTAAATAGCGCTTGGAAGAAATTATGTTGGCTTATAAATATTTAATTAAGAAAAATTTCAAGCGATACTACATTTAAAAAAGGAACTACTTAATAATAAACGAAATTATCAAAAGTGATTTTCTTTGTTATTTTTAGATAATTAGGTCTACACTGTAAATCTACAATCCCTAGGAAAAGACATAAGCCAAAGACAACAACAATAACAACATAAAACTCAATTCTTAAAAAAAGCATAAGAAATGGGTGAGAATAATGAATAATTAGAAAAAAAAGATTAAATTGTAAATGTTCTAATGGTAGATAATGACAATAGATCTGTCGTCTCTACACATTCTAAAGATAATTCTGAAGATATCCCTGAAGAAAAATCTCTCATTTACATCTCTAGTTTGAGAGATTTCAAGAGCCTTCTTAGATCATGCATTGAGAATGCTATGGCCTTTCTCTTCGATTGGATCCCAAATATCTTAACTCTCTACTTTATTAACAACAACACAACTCAGCTTGAAGCTAGTGGCTTCGGTTTAGGTTTAATCTGGGCAAACAGTATCGGATAAAGTCTCTATTATGGATTAAGTAGTGGTTTTGAAACATTAGCAGCTCATGCTCATGGAGCTGGTAATTACGAATAAGTAGGCATTTTGTACCAAAGAACGCTCTACATTACACTAATAATGTTCATACCTATTGGTCTTTCGCTCTATTTTGCTGAAGATATTTTGATGCTTTGGAACTCAGATGAAGAGCTTTGCAGGTAAGCCGGACTATATTGCATTAGTGCTTTGCCTGGATTATTCTTCGCTGCTATAGCTTTCTAATTCAAAGGTAAAAACAATACTTAATTTAACTTATTCAATAACTTTATAAAATAGATATAAATAAAGTATAAGTTTTTCTTAACTAAATATTCTTATAAACAGAACATTTTAAATATAATCCCACAACATTCATTTATCATAAAGTATATTTTTATATTTACGCCAATCCAAAACATTAACATAAGCAAGAAAGCAAATCAAAACTATTTAATTTCTAAAAAAGCCTAATTTTAAATCAAATCTTTTTATGTTTTTGATCGACTTAAATATTACACACTAACTTTTTAAAAAATCTATAACCAACTTTATTTACATTTATCTAAAAATTCTTTGAAAAAATGTTTTAAATTACAAAGGATAAAAGCAATAATTAATGATAAAGAATATCATTTTATTGTAATTATTTTATTTAATATTAATCATCCAAGAACATTTTTACTTTGATTTGGATTTATAAAAATAAACCATAATGCTTACTATCTTACTTTATTTGAAGAAGCGAAAATAATTAAATCTTTCAATGAACAAATCTTTGAGATTTATTACATTTAATTTTAAATCTAGTTCTCTCTTGTTCACAAATATTCTTTACTCAATTCAACCATCAAAGGTGCTTCATTATTTATTTCTTTAATTAAGTTAAGCCAAAAATAAATAGATTAATAAATCTAATTACATGTTTTAATAAATTGAGCTTAACAACTTAATTAGAAGGCTTATTACTTTTATAAAAATGTAAGGATGATAATTTAAATTTTGGTTACAGTTTACTAAATTTCAAAGCTTTTGCAATCTTATTTACCTTTGTAAACTTTCTCAATGAATCAAAGAATTAATATTATTTTAAAATAAATTTCAAGAGTTTTTTGAAATATAAAAATTAAGTTTACAATTAAAACTGATCATTTTATATAATAGAAAACAAACTAATATTTATTTGTTTTAATAATAGCTTCTTTAAATGCTTAAAACATCTATAATTTGCAATATTAAGCTGTAGCTTGGAGTATTCCTTTCCACTGGGTGATCTCTTATCTCTTTATTTCAGTCTTTTAGCTGAAGGTTATTGGCGGTGGTTTGGCATTTTCATGTTCATAATTTACTTCGCTTTACTTATTGTATTACTTAGTAAAGTAAAAACAAGAATATCAAAAATGTTACATTCCTTTCGATAAAAGATGCATGCAAGAAATCATCCCTTTCTTGAAAATTGTTATCCCTATTGGATCTCTTTTAACTCTTGAATGGCTTGTTTATGAAACTTATTCGATTTTAGCTTCTAACTTACCTCAAGCATAATTTTCTGCCCACATTGTACTGTCTAATTTTAATACTATTTATTACTAACTACCAGAAGGTTTTTCAATAGCTACTTCTACTTTTGTAGGAAATGAAATGGGTAGCAACAAGCCTAATAGAGCTAAGAGATTTGCTAAATACGGTATGATCATAGCTCTATTAAACTTTTCGCTCACATTAATGCCAATTTATTACCTAAAATATGAAATCATCAAAATGTTTTCAGTCGATGAAGAAGTCCTTACAATTTTAGATCAAACCTTTAATGTCTTTATTTTTGCTGTTATTTCTGATGCTTCTCAAGTTATGTTGACAGGATTAATGAGAGCAATAGGCAAAGAGCAATTCAGTAGTGTATCATTCATTTTTTGTTATGTCTTCTTTGGAATATTTTGGGCATATATCCTTGCTTACGTCTGCGAGTTCGAAATATATGGTATTCTCTTTGGTGCTATCATAGGTAAAATATATGTCTTTTATTTGCTTTTAATATACATAAAAATCACCATTCGTTTTTAAGCTTACAAAATTTTTAATAAAAAGGTTCATCATCTTATAATATTTTGCAGCTTTATTAACTTCATAAATCAGACTGGCACAGTTTGGCAGAATTCATTTAGGAAAGAATAGGATCCAACGAAAGCTTAGAACTTAAGGAAATTAAAGAAAATTTAGTATGAAAAAAAGAAAATTGATTTAGTTTACATTATTTAATTTCTTATTTAAACATAAACATATTATTATATTACATTAGTAATTTATTTATATCCTATGTCTATCTTATCAAACATTTTTAAATATTAATGTAAATTTAAATTTTTGAGCATTGATTTTGATTAACTTTCTGTAGTGTCTACGTTAAAGTAATCCCAATAATTATAATTAATTCTTTCCAAATAATTAATTCAGTTTTTATTGCTGTTAAGATAAATAAGAATTTATTATTATTCAATTCTTTTATTTTATTATATATTTTCGCTATACCATAAAAGACTATTAATGAAGCAGGTTATTTGATTGATCTATTTAAATTATTCATTAGTTTTTAATCAGAATAATTTCTAAGTTACTTCCTTAATTTTATGCAAAACAATAAAGCCACAAGTAATTTAAATTAAAAATAATTCGTTAAAATAATGCAAAATTTTTATAATTAAAATTAATTAATTGCTAAAGTTGATAAAGTTAAACTAAATCTTTAATTAATAGTATTTATTTTCTTAATGAGTTAATATAATAATAATATACAAAGAGATCATTCTGCTTACATTGCTATTAATTTTAGCTAAAATTAAAATACTCAAGAGCAAATGAATACCTAAGATAAAAGTATTGATTCTTATTTAAGCAGTAAAACTAATAGATTTCAAGAAAAATCATTAGAATATAATGATAAAACACATACTAACTTAAGCTAGTAAATGAATGATAATCAAGAATAAATGACAGAATTTAATAAAATATATCACTATGATAATAAATCTTAAAAAAATTAAAGTATTAAAGATAACTAAATAGACATAGAACAAGAAAATGATATTTTTTCAATATCAAATAGAAACGATTTCAAATAGCTCTTTAAGTCTTGTATTGAAAATGCTTTGTCATACTTATTAGAGTATATTCCAAATATTTTTACTTTGTATCTCATAAATAACAATTCAAATTAAATAGAAGCAAGTGGATTTGGTTTAGGTGTAATTTGGATTAATTGTATTGGTTAAAGTTTGTATTATGGTTTAGGAAGTGGCTTTGAAACATTAGCCGCCCATGCACATGGTGCTGGTAATTACAAATAAGTTGGTCTATTGTACCAAAGAACTCTGTTTATTTCTTTGGTCATGTTTATACCTATTTGCTCTTGTGTATTTTTTTCAGAAAACATTTTGTAATTATGGAATTCTGATATTGAAATATGCAAATAAGCTGCTAATTTTTCAATTTATGCTTTGCCTGGATTATTCTTTGTTGCAATAGCTTTTTAATTCAAAGGTATTCATTCATTGACCAAAATTTCCTTTGAATTATGCTTTAAAATTACAAATTTATCTTTATTTTTAATTTACAAATAATTAAATTAAAATTTAAAAATAAAATATTTTATTTATTTTAAACAAAAAAATAGCTTCGTTGAATGCATAAAATATTTATGACCTCCAGTATAAAGCAGTTGTTTGGACTATTCCTTTTAATCTTCTAATTTCTTATATGCTTATTTCTTAACTTGGATTAAAAGTTAATGGTGGCGGTTTGGCTTTTTCATTCACTCAGCTTACCTAACTTTTATTGCTTTACTATTTAGTAAAATAAGACAGTCAATACTAGAAGTGTTATATTCCTTTTGATAAAAGATGCATGTAAGAAATTATTCCTTTCTTGAAGGTTGCAATTCCTATTGGGTCTCTTCTCACTCTTGAATGGGTAGTCTACGAAAGCTTTTCAATTTTAGCTTCCAATTTACCTCCTGCTTAATTTTCTGCTCATGTCATTTTATCAAATTTTAATATTATTTATTATTAAATCCCTGAAGGATTTTCAATAACAATATCGACGTTTGTTGGAAATGAAATGGGAAATAATATGCCAAATAGAGCTAAAAGATTTGCAAGATATGGACTTATTATTGCTTTCTTAAATTTCTCAATAACGCTGATACCAATACTTTATTTCAAGTAAGAAATTATTTAGATGTTTTCTGTAGATGAAGAAGTCTCGATAATCCTAGACTAAGCTTATAGCGTTTTTATAATTGTTGTTATCTGTGATTCCTCTCAAGTAATGCTAACTTGTTTAATGAGAGCTATAGGCAAAGAATAATTTAGCAGCGTGTCTTTCATTCTCTGCTATATTTTTTTGGGAATTTTCTGGGCTTATCTACTAACTTATTAGTTAGACTTTCAAATTTATGGCATCCTATTTGGAACAATTATTGGTAATTCAAATTTTAATTTTAAATTAAAAAAAAATATTTTAAAATTAATAAAAATAGGATGTCTCTCATATGATATTTTGTAAGTTTATCAGCTTTATAAATCAAATTGGCATGTTTTAGCATAATTCATTTAAGATAGAATAGATTCTCATAATTTATAAGAATTAGAAAATATTAAGTCACACTTAATATGAGAATCTAAATTTAACTAACTCCCTAACTAAGTTACTTGAAATTTATTCTATTTAATTCAATGAATTTTATATTTTAGTTCATAACTGTTTATTCGATTATATACTATTTATTCATAGTTTATAAAAATTAATATAACAATATTTTAAAGAAGTAGAACTAATTTATTTCAAATTTCTAAAAATATATTTATTAATAAACAATCTTAAATATTTTTAAAAAGTGATAAATCATATTTATTTAAATACACCTACCCTATTTTATTAGCTTTATTAGTATTAGTTTTAGTTTTAAAAATTTTTTAATTTACTCTCTAATTCTTTTTAAAATGGCGAAAATTTTAGATATGGAAAAATGATGAAAATAAATTCTATCATTTTAATTTGTTAACATACATTTATTTTCAAAGAATCTGTTTTTTTGTGGGTTGTATCTTTTACATAAAAATTAATTTGTATTTAAAATAACGGGCATATTTAAATTATTATGTTAATATAATTCAAATTATGAAATAACAGATTATGTTATTTGTAATTTTCAGTATTTTGACAGAATCAATCAATATATATTTAATTATTTTCTGAATTATTTGTATGATAATATCTTTTTGAAACGATTGTAATTTTTATTAGTAAAATATGTAACAAGGAATAATTAAATATGTTTCATCAAATATTTAATTTATTCTACTTCTTTTTTGATAGACAGGAAATGTAAAACTAACTTGTTTTCTTTTGAAATAAAGAAAATTTAATTGTTTTTTTTTCTACCTAAAACAATAAATAAATTATTGTTGTAAAAGATTGTGTATACTTTTGGCTATCTTTAAAGCACATGAATAGTTGATTTCTTGGATTTAATAATTAATTATTAAATTAATTAATTAATTACTTGAGTGAAAACACAAAAATTTAAATATTACTAATTAATAAATAATTAAAAATATATAGTCCAATCAATGAAGATAGTTATTAGTACCAAATTTAAAGCAGTGTTGACTCTTATAGGAGGATTCTTTTTACTTTTGACAAATGGCTCCATATTTTTGTGGGGTTAACTTAATGTTTATGTTACATCATATTTTAGATAGAAGGAGGATGCTGGATTAGATTTAAGCATAGGAGGAGCACTCTTTCCAGTAATGATGGCTTCTTTAGCAACAGGTATCCCTTTTGGCATAAAATTACTTAAGTTTTTTGGTTCAGCTAGGGTCTGCTTACTAATTAGTGTAGTTACTTCCTCTATGATGGTCATTTTGTCAAGCTTTGCCCAAAGATTTTACTAATTTATTATCATTTATGGAGTTATTGGTGGATTTGCACAAGGAACTGTTTATTTCGTACCAATTTATATGGGTTATTTATACCTACCAAACAATAAAGGTTTAGTTGCAGGGATAAACACATGCGGATTTGCATTAAATGCCTTTTTTTTTGGATTGCTCTTCTTTCACTAAGTTAATCCTTAAGGATTACCATAAATTAGCAATCATGATGGATATTCATATTTTGAAGGTAGTTCTATTGAGGTCGCTAGAAATGTGCCTGAAGCTATTAGAACTCTTGGATATATTTTCTTAAGCGTCTCAGTTGTAGCTAGTCAGCTAATCATGTACCACCCAAATTAAATTGGTGAAGAAGAAAAGAGACTGAAAAGATAACTAGACAATAAAGAGAAAGAGATAAAAGATTTAAACTAGCTTAAGTAAAAAATATAAGAAGTAGATTCTAATTTTAAAAAAAATAATGATTAAATTCCTTAAGAAACGCTTTAAACAGAGAGTATTTAAAAAGATTAACAATTATTAAATAAACATATTCACCTAGCAAAATTAGAAGAAGAGTTGATTTAACAGTAAATCCTAAGAGTTAACCATGAAGATCAATAAAAGGAACAAGTGTATATTTATCCAGAAATTTTAGATTAATTTACTCAAAATTAATCAGACAGCGAAAATCAAATTTTTCATCATCATAATTTAGTCTAATTTATGTAACAAGACCATCCTAATAAAGACTAACACAAGAACTCATTTATTTCTGTAGTTTCATGTAAAAATGAGTAAGAGCTTTAGCTTTATTTATAATCAAAGGAGAAATAAGTTGAATAAAATTTAATAGAGTTGAAAATAAAGAATAAGCTTGCAGAAGAATAATTAAATTAGTAAGGAGCTCCATCAATTGCGATTTGTTTAAAGCAGCCACAGTTTTATATGTCTATATTTTTGGGATTCCTCTCTATTGGTTTTGGACTTTTAATTAATGGTAACTACAAACCTCTTGCTAAAGATTATGGGTTTACAAATGATAGCTTTTAATCTTTAGTTGGTTCAATTAGTGGAATTGCAAATGGATTATGTAGACCTATGTGGTCAACTTTACTTGATAAATTTTCCTTCAAGAGAGTTCTTTAAGTATTGCTTACAATCGAAATAATCACATCTCTTTCGCTATAGTCTACACATATAAACTAAGTTTTCTTTATTTTATGGATTTGCATTATTCACATGACTCTAGGAGGTACTTTAGGAATGTGGCCAGTCTTTTCCTCATAAATTAATGGAGTAAAAATTGGTTCATAGCTATATGGATTCTATTGGTATGGATTTACGCTTGCTAATCTCCTTTAATTTTTGCTAGTTCTTTATACTAAGAAATCAATTGGTTTCAATAAAATATTTTATATCTACTTTGCTCAAGCATTTGTTGCATTATGTATTATTACTTTCTACAATTTTAAAGTAAATTGGTCTAAACACTACATCTCAACTCCTAAAACTTAGCAATCATAAACTATATTTGAAACTTAACTATAATCAGAACCAGTTTAATAATTAATAACTTTAGCAAAATGAATAATAATAATTAATATTAAATATATTTATTTGTTTGATAAAATAGTTAACTAAAAAATATTTTTTCGAAAATTTTTAAATTCATAAATATTAGTGGTAATGCTATATTAAATATTTGTTATTAAAGCAGTTTACAAGATTCCTTAATACATTATATATAAGAATAGGAATATAATTTTTACAGTAGTTCATTTATCTTATTCAAGCTAAAATTTTTTATGTTAAATGTTTTCTTATTTATGAGCTCAAGTGAACATTATTTTGCTTAAAATTGAACTGGTTTTGGTACATTTTAGTTAAAACTATGATAATATTAATTAAAAAATACTATAATTTGTTGTTTTATTTGAATTACCACTTTAAAAATTATTTTATAATTAGTAAGCAACATTTTATAATAACTTTATTTAACTTTACAAATTTTTTTTCTAGTATAATAATTAATTTATTTACTTACTTATTTATTTATTAATTGTTTAAAATACAAAAATAATTACAATGAAAGATGGAATTCATTAAATTAAATTTGACTTTAATACAAATGTTATTGATATTTGATAAAAGTAAATGTAAATTTAGATTTGTTCATAGAATCAAAGTTGATAAAAGCTAAGGATTATAATTAAAAAACTAACAACCAAAGTAGAGAAAGGATTTACTTAGTTTTTTTGTATTTATTTTGTAAAAATTAATTTACATTAAGATTTATAAAAATTCAAAATAAATAATTAGATGAGTAAAAATATAGTTTCTATTAATAGTAATAAAGCACCAAATATTTAGCATTCATATCTGAATAGTTCATCAAATAATGAAAGTGATGACAAACCAGTACATAACGAAGCTAATTTTTACAAGAAATCATAGTCAGTAGAGCATTTAAGATTTAGTAGTCCTACCAAAAAGATGAGAAGCTAAACTAACAAGAGTTTTGGTGCTAAAAAGTCGTTTTAAGAGGTATATTCTACAAGCAGAATGTTTGGCCGCAATACAATTTAAAAATACTAATCACTCTTAGACTAGCCTTAGACAGAAAGCAGAACAGGTACCCTGCAAAATATAGAGAGAGGATTGCTAGTTGAAGAAGATCAATATGAAGATAATTAAGATTAAGATAAGGAAATAGTAGAAATAAACATGGAAGCAAATTTTAAATGGTTATTAAAATCATGCATTGAAGAAGCACTAAGTTTCGCCTTAGAATGGGCTCCTTCAACAATTATTTTATATTTCATAACTTAGAATAATGACGAAATTACAGTTAAAGGATTTGGTATAGGTGCCGTATGGAGTAACTGCATAGGTTAAGGTTTATACTATGGTTTATGTAGTGGATTTGAAACAATGGCTTCTCATGCTAATGGAAATAAAAACTATTAACTAGTAGGACTTTTACTTAACAAAACAGTGTTTATTTCAATGATACTTTTTATTCCAATTATGTTAGCGATGTTATTTTCAGAGTATATTCTAAATGTCTACAATACAGACGAATAAGCTTGCAATATTGCAAGCTAATATTGTTAACTTGTAATTCCTGGCTTATTCATAGCCTCGTTTTATTATGCTTTGAAAGGTATTACTTTTGATATGTATATATATTTATTTCCTTGTAAAAGAATTAAAATTGTAATTAATATTATAAAATCTATCAATGGATTTATTTATTATTCACTTTTAACTAACCAAGCTAAGAATTGATAATAAATAAGCATTTCAAATACATCTTACCAAAATATTAGTTAAAAACCATACAAAATTAAACATTTTTTATAAATAGCTTTTCTGAATGCTTAAAATGAGTACAGAATATAAGTTTACACAGCGTCTATCAATTTGGCAACAGTTGTTTTATATAGTTATATTTTCATTTAGTATCTAGAAATGGGTATTAAAGGAGCTGCATTAGTTTTCGTACTTAGTGAGTCAACTTGCTTAACATTGCTCTCCATATTCACATTTTTTAAAAAACATCTTCACAAATGTTTTATTTCTTTGTCAAAAGAAATGTTCAAAAACTTAGCTGATTACCTGAAAGTTGCAGTTCCAATTGGATCAATTGTTGCTGCAGAGTGGATGATTTTCGAATTAACAGCCATTATTTCTTCTAATCTAAATGATAATTAGTATGAAGCTCATTTAGTTCTCTCAAACTTTAGTGCAATGTGTTTCTAATTTTAAATTGGTAAAAAGACAACAATTTTTTTACTTATTTTAATTTTTATAATATTTATTAAATTAAAATTAAGCAAATACATATTAATTGCTTTATTTAAAAATTTTTTTAAATGATAACTAAAATAATTATTAAATTATTTAAAAATTAATAAAAATATAAAATCATGATAGTTAATTTTTTAAATTTAATTTGCTTTATCTTAATATTTTAAATTGATTAAAATTTATATGATAAATTAAAGAAGGGATATATTTAATTGAAATAAACTCTAAATTTAAAAACAATTTATAGAATAAATTAAAAAATTGATTTTAAAAATTTTTAATTTAAATAATATTTAGGATATTCAACAGCAACAGCAACATTTATAAGTAATGAAATGGGTAATTAAAATGTAAAAAACGCCTTGAAATACACAAAATATGCTCTTTATATAATTTTAGGACACTTACTTATTGTCATTTTACCCCTTATTTTTTTAAGAAGTTATATAGCTGATATGTTTACAAGCTCATAAGAGATAAAAGATAGTTTACTTTCAGTGTATTTTATATTCATAGGATGTTTCTCATTAGAATCATTTTCTTCTATAGCCTCAGCCTATATGAGAGCAATAGCTTAAGAAAATTATACAAGTATTTGTTTCTTTCTTTGTTACGGAGGATTTGGTCTAGTTTCAAGCTATCTTCTAGCTTATTAGGCAGACTTAGGACTAAAGGGTATTTGGTTAGGAATGCTAATTTGTAATATGTTTATTTATTTATTTACTTATTTAGTTTATAATATTAGCTTATTCTAAATATATTTTTAATTTATTAGCTGTAGGATCTTATATTATTTTGCTTGCAATTTAAATATTTAGAGTTGATATAAATGAAATGGCTAAAATCATAGCTGAAAGAGTAGAAGAAGATGAAGAATAAGAATAGTAAGAAAATTAAAATGATTAGCTTGCTATCAAAAATACTGAAACTGAAGATTCATGAATTAAGACAACAAAATATTTAGTTTATCTAATTAATTTATAGGAAAGCTTAATAATTTAAAAAAAATCCTTTGTAAATTAATTATATATTATTTCTATCTACTTTCTAAAATTAAACTCTTAAATTATCTAATTTTATCATAACAATTCATTCTTAGCAGAAAGAAGGAGTTGGTAGTAGTTTATTAATTTATTATCAAAAATGCCTTACAAAAGTATAGTATTAAATATGGAGAAGAGTCTAGGAATGATTTTAGGCGAAAAATATTGATTGAGGCTGCAAGAAAATGTTTTTTTATAATTAATCTTTAAACAGTTTATATGTAGTTTTTTTACATAAAGAATCAGCAAATAAATTAATTATTTTAAAAATTAATTAAGGTGTAGCATATATGTTTATAAGACCATTATTAAGCATGAAATCAAAATTGATTAAATTTCTGTTAATCAAATATTTATTAATACCTCCAATCCAAAATTAAAATTATATTTATTTTACTTTACTTTTACATTACAAAAGTTTTTAAAAACTTTTTTCTAAAAAATAGATTTACTTATAATTAATTATCATTATTTTATGAATAACATTTATTTTACAAAAGTTTTTAATTATTCATTAATTGGTATGTATATTTTACATTATCATGTTCCTAATTTTCTATTGATTAAATCAATATCAATTTAAAAATTAAAAAAGATGATAAGAAATGATAAAAAATCTGATCAGAATCAAAATACCTATTAAGCAATATCTATCTAACTAACTACTGTAGCTACTCTTCTATATGGAGGGTCCAAAAATAAATAAATAAATAAATTATTTCCAAATACTCTTCTTCAAAGTCTTTACCTTCTCTTAATATTATTAATAGTTTTAGTAATAATTACATTAATTAATTTTTATATAATATTGTAAGATATTTTAAAAATCTAATTAGATTCATAGTTTGTTTTTTATATGTTTTACTTTAAAGAATATGAAAAAATTAATTCTTTTAAAATGAAGAAGTAATTAAATTTTAACAAGGAAAAAAAAATTTTTCAAAATTTTTCCTCCTTATTAAAAAATCATCCATATACTAAAATTAACCTTATTGACGAGTACCTACCTACCTATCTTACTTAGTTTTTTAATTATTTATCACTTCTTTAATCAATCATTTTTTTTATTAATTAAATTGTTAAAAAGAAAAATTTTGTTTGCCAATAATTGAATTTCTAATAAATCCTCTATTTTTTCTATTCGAAAACCTAAATATTGTAGCTAAGCTAAATATAAATAATTATTATATTTACAAATATGTAATGGATTTAGCTCTCTATAATTTTAAAACTAATTCTACAAGAAATAAACACAATGTAATTAAAATTGAATATTTTTAAAGCTATTATATGTGTTTTTAATTCAAAAAAATTGCTTTTAAAATTTTATTATAACTAACATATTATTTACTCAAAATTTAGATTATTTGATCCACCTATTTATTTACTTACTTCCAAAGATTAATTAATTTATTTTTTCTAAACTAAATTTAATCATCATCAAAGATATTCTTTTATTGTATTTGAGAAAATCACTCTCAAAACTTTTATAAAATATAAGTAAATGTATATGTAAATATTCTATTTTTATTGATAAATACTTTAAGCAAGAAAATATTCCTTTATTGATAGATAACAATTCTACTTATTTTTTATGTAAAAGATATTTTATATTTTATATTTTTAAAATTTTAAGCATTAATAAAGAATATAAAAATATGTTTTTATCTGATATAAATGTTGTCTAGTAGAGAATATTTTTATAATTATTTATTTATTAACAAATTAATTAAATTCAAAAAAAAGCATGAGAACTTCATAATTATTACAAGTTTTAATATCAATTCTAAAATAAAATTTAAGAATTGAATTTATAATTAAGCTATTACTTCTTAGTTAGGTATGTTGTCAGGATAATTTAATGCAAGGTTAGAGCTGTGATAAAAACATAATTTAATAATTGGTATTGTAGAATATTTAGTATAAGTGTAGTTTGACAGAAATTATAGTTGAAAATTAAGAAGAGATTAAATTAGATTTGGAATTAAGAGATTTATAGATCTTCTCTTAATTGTTAATTTCAAATATCAAAAATGTTTATATTAATAATCTAATTTTGGAAAATTTAATTACGAAATAACATAAAGATAATTTTAGTTTGATAAAATTTCTCTAAATAGAAAACTTAAGTATTTAATTTTTAAGCATTTCTAATTCTTTTTAAAATAAAATGGCTTTAATTAAAGCTGAGGATATTAAAAATATGTAAGTAAACTAATTTACTTTAAGTAATTTAAGTCTAGAGAGAAGTCTCTCCCTGGTTTCTGAAAATTTAGCAATCAACTAGATGATTTTACTCAATACTATTGTTTGTGAATTTTATTTATGTGGTGAATAAAATCTAACTATTAATGATATTTATGTTCGATTTGATGATTAATAATTATTGGAGGACTATCAGTGCTTTCAAGAATATTCAACATTTAATGAAATTAATATTCAAAATATATTTTTTGATATAAATAAAATAGGATTTCCTACAGAAGTGATAAAATTTGCTAATATTTATAAAGAACAAAGTACTTCTGAAGGCAAAATTAATATTAATTAAATCTACTATAAATCAGAGCAACAATAATAGTCAATTTATACGATTATTTTATAGCTAGGTAAGTAAAATAATGAAAATGTCCACATAAATATACAAAAAATAATATATAAATAAAAAGAAAGTAATGTTCCTTTGTAGATTTATGCCTAAGAGATAAAGAGTATTTTTATTTCTGAAATTATTTTAGATGGATTTGGCTAAGAGTTATAATATAGTACATGCACTTATTTTATGAAAATAGCTCATATTAGATATTTTTATGTCGGCTCTATTGTTTTTAGCTCTAATAATAACATTAACGGTATCATCTTATCAGGGGAAGATATTCAAAATTTAGAAATATTTAGAATTGAAATAAAAACTTAAGTTTTATTTAGCTAAAATGTTATTGATTTAAATACTTGTACTTCTTTTATGATATTAAATCTTATAGCCTAAGATGATATATTTAGAGGATATTTAATTAACGCTTATAGTACTTCATCTTTAAAATTTGTAGATTTTAATCTATAAAATATACAATTTAATTAAAAATCAATATTTAATTTAGTAGGTGTTAAATCCGCTTTTTTTTAATATTTTTAAATTGATAAAATATAGCCTAAAATATTCCAAACTGCTGTTTTTAATATTGAATTGTAATAATTGAATTATGATACATTATAAACTATTTATCGTAATGTCTAAGCAGATTTACAATCTAATCAAAATTTACAATTGCTTGTTTTAAATGGATTAAATTATTAAGTTCTCATAACAGAATCATAAATTATGAATGGATCTTCTACTAATTTTGGTGGATGTATAAATTTAATTTAATCTTCTCAGATTCTATCATAATTAATTATTTATAATTCTAAATTCAAAAATTGTAAAAGCAAATACTCTGGTGGAGCTATTGCAGGTATTAGATAATTAGAAATAAAGAATTCAAGTTTTGAACAATGTAGTAGCTAAATAGGTGGTGCTCTATATATGACAACAAACATTAATTTAGATAATAGTTATTTTTTATAAAATAAAGGTTATTTATCAGCAAACAATTACAATAAAAATATCATCGATCTTAAAATAGGCGAAGTATTTGAAATAGTTGATATTACTAAAGATTATCAACTTATTTAAACTGATAAATTTTTATATCCTGGTTTAACGTACATGATAAAAATTTCAATAGAAACAGAAGATTTGAAGTAGAATGCGCTGAGTAACCAATACTATTTTGGTAATATCTTTGACCTTTTAATTGATCCTTCTAACAATTTTATATCTGTAACACCTCCTTAGTTGTTAAACGTAAACTTTCCTTTCCTTTTGTGGTATGCATTCGATATTGAATTCGATGGCTAATAAACTATAGACTTTGAAAAAATAAATATAAATTTTGTTTTAAATTATAATTTAAAAACCAACCAATACAAAATATACAATGGTTGTAAAAAACAAGGAATGGAATAATTTTTCTTGGATGGTTAGAGAACTTAGTAATTTATTTGTAAATACTGCGATTTTATGAGAGCAGGCTATGATGGAGTGTGTTAAAATTGTTAAACTGACTATTTTTCATCATGCTATGGAAACTATTCAATGTTAAAGTCAGGTTATTGGAGATCTAATTACACTGTTGAATCTTCAGATATTCTTTATTGTTCAAATAATCCACTGAGCTGTTAAGGAGGTAATTCTAAAATATTTTTTATTTTTATTTTTATTTTTATTAATAAAAAAATATAAAAATTTTTTGATATAAAATAATTTTTGCAAAGTTGAAACCCACAAGCAAATTAATAATTTATTATTCCAAGAAATAAATATAAAGTAATCATTACAAAATAGAAGAAGAAAAAAATATTTATTTATTTATTTGTATTTATTTTTCAAAATTTTATGTTAAATTAAATTTTATTTTTTATAATTTGAAATTTTTTAATTTTAATATGAATTAGGTAGTGGAATAGGAAATAATTTATGTTATGAAGGTCATGTAGGAGTTTAGTGTTTAGATTGTGATATAAATGGAAATTATTGGTAGGATAAATATTCTTAGGTAGGCTTTTTTCAGTGTGTTAAATGCAGCTCCATCTCATTTAATACAGCAAAGACATTTATATTGCTATTTTTCTTAGTTATTAGTTTGATAGTTATAATTTTTTCAACATTTAGAAGAATTAGAAATTAAATATGTGCCTTTTATCTATAGAAATTAGGTATCTTTTTTATTGGTAAAACATTGCAAAAATAGTCTCTTACATCAACATACATAAAAATATTATTATTCCATGTATAAGTCTTTATTATATCTTATCAACTTACAAAAGTAAATATTATTTCTACAATTCTTTCATTTGAGGTTCTAATGTATAATCCACTCAGCTCATCATTCTTTTCTTTAAGTTGCCTGATTTCTTAGTATAACTTGATCTATACAAGTGTGGGATTCTCTTATTTATTATTTTCATTTTTGATTCCAATATCTATTTGCTCTTTCGTAATACTTGTTTCTATAATAATTTCTCTTTTAAAAAGGAGGCTTATTTAGAGATGTCAATATGTTACTTTTCTAACATTTATTTATATGTTTATCTCAGTGTTTTACTCTTTCTTATTAAAATAATGCCTATCAAGCTTATTTTGCCTCAACCTAGAATAAGAAAAGTCCTACTCTTTAATTGATTTAAGTTTAGAATGTGGTAGCTCTTAAGAACTATTTAAAATAAGAAGCATTAGCCTGACAATATTAATTATGTTTTTAATATGTTTTCCTCTAGCCATCTTTTTTTAGATTATTAAATCTCGAAACAGACTCAATAAAGTAAAAGTAATGTTTACCTATGGATTTTTGTACAACGAATATAAAATGAAGTATTATTATTGGGAAATTATAAAATTTGCAGTAAAGTCTATTTTGATTTTAATTTCAGTATCACTGAAAGGGCATTCATAAATAAGTTTGCTTATGATAACCATGTTGCTATTTTCATATTTTATAGCCTTAAATAATTTAATGCCCTTTATTTCTACATTTTTAAATAATTTAGAAAAGATTTCGATAATACTTTCTATATTTTTATAGATCTCATCACTAATGTAAATTTCAACTGATCAAAATGAAGAAACATCAATCTACAACTTTAGAAATATTTTTTATGCTACTATAGAAATTATTAACTTGATATTCTTGTTTTACTGTTTATGGCTGATAATAACATCTTTCTTAGAAAGATAAATAGTTAAACTATAAAAATATCTAAAATGTAAGTGTATCTAGAAAATAAATTCTGTGAATAACCTTAAGATAAATTCAAATATAAAAAAGCTTATATAATGTGTTAAAAAAATAAAACAAATATAAATCAGAGATGATGAAAGTAATTATTTACTAAATTTTGAGTTTGATTAGATTGATTGAAATCTCATAAAATAATTTACTTTGTTTCTTTTTTATAATGTGATTTATTTAATTTTAATAAAAATTCAATTTTTTTATTTTTCATATTAAAATATTCAATTTAACTCTAGTTAATACTTTTAAAATAAAATGAAATATTATTTGTTTAAAAAAAGATAATTTAACTCTATGTAGATAAATTAACAAATTACATAAAAGAAATAAAAATCTAAATATAATAAATACACCCTTTAAAATTATTCAAATTATCAAATTTCTATTTGTCTAAATATCATATTTTAAATTTTTAAATGTTTTAGAAAATTTTTAATTTATTTTATTATGATTGCTGATTTTAATTAATTTAAGCATTATTTAATTTGATTTAAAAAAAGATATAAAAAATAAAAAGAAGGGATAAGAAATTGATAAGAAAATTTATTTCCTATCAGATATAATTTATTAACTTCAAGTTTATTGAATTACATTTAAATTCTTTTATGCTTTTGGAAAGTTTTTCTAATCAGAATGTTTTTGATAACTAATAAGAATTTCTAATATTAGTATCAAAAAAACATAATTTATTCTTTTATAATGATTGAGAAAATCTTTGAAGAATTTTAATTAAAAAATTGTTTATTAATAATTAATTTGTAAAAACAAATCTTAAATTATTTCTTATCAAAAGTAAAATGAAAATCTATTAATTTTAGCTTAAATTTTTCTTAGACCAAAAACAAAATTTAATAATTAGGCTAATAACATTAATTTTGTTTATTAGCAAAACAGTTTATTTGGATAATTTAGATATTTCAAATTAAATGGCTTAACCTAGGTGTGATAAAAATATTATTTAATAGTTGGAAGTGTAGAATATTTAGTATGAATGCGAATTTGATAAAATAACAATTAGAAATTAAAATGAAATCAAATTAAATTTAGAACTAAAAGATTTAGAGATTATTTCCTATTTATAAATTGATAATATCAAAACAGTAAATATTAACAATCTTATTTTAGATAATTTTAGATTTAAAAAAGACCTTGAAACTTTGAGTTTTATCTCTTTAAGTGGAGTTGATAACTTATAAATATAAAATATAATTGTTTCTAATTCTTTTTTAGCTGATTTAATGCTAATAGATACTTAAAATATTTAAGATATTTAAATATATTAATTAAATTTAAGCAATTTAAATATCAGAAATAGCATTTAACTTAATTCTGAAAATTTATTTATTGATAAGTTTATAATATTAAATACTGAAATATGTGGACTGCTATTTTATGGATAGATGATTCTAAAAATGAATGATATATTTCTAATATTTAATGAATAATACTCTCCAGCAAATAATGAATAATGTTTCTAATATTATATATCAGATAAATAAATTAATATTTAAAACATATTTATTGATGTCAAATAGTTATAAAGCTTTCCTGAAACCTAGTTTAAATTTGCTAACATTTGCCAAAGATCCCCTGAAAAACCAACATAAATTAAAATAAATAAAATTTAATATCAATCTTATTTTTCATAAATGAGTTCTTTAATCATAATGTTAAAGCTAGGTAAGTATAATTAGGAATCAACTTTCATAAATATAAACAAAATAATCTTTAAACAAATAGATAAAGGTGGTCTTATGTAAATATTATTTGAGAAATTTAATAGTATCTCTATATAAGAAGTTATTGTTGAAGGATTCTTTGGATTGATGAAAAATAGTAACTACATTAGTTTTCTGAGTGCTACTAACATCGATTACTTTTATATTAATTCTATTGCAATTTAGCAAAGTAATCAAATTGATGGTATTATCTTAATGGGATAAGAAATATAAACATTATTAATATAAAAACTTGAAATATAACCCTCAGCATTCTTTTCTTAAAATGTCATAGACTTAAAAAATTGTAAAGAATTACAAATTTCCAACATAATTGCTAATGATATTTAACTTAATGGCTATTTTTAATGCTTACTAAATATAGATTATTTACTTTTAAACAATTTCAATCTCTGAAATATAATTTAATTAAGTATCGATATTTAATTTGGTAAACACTAATTATGCTTCATTTTTTACACTTGAATTAGCAAAGCTAAAACCATAATAATTTTAAAGTACTGTATTTTATATAGAATAACAAGTACAGTTTTACTATGATAAACAATTATAAATTAATTATTAAAATACTCAAGTAGATTTACAATCAAAGTAGAACTTATAATTCCTGGTTTTAAATGGAATTTATTTTTTATTAAAAATAGATAATTCTTAAGTAATGAATGGCTCTTCTATTAATTTTGGCGGTTGCATAAATTTAATTTCAACAACTGTTTTTACATAATCACAATTAATTATATCAAATTCCAAATTCAAAAATTGTAAAAGTAAATACTCAGGAGGAGCTATTTCAGGTATTAAATAATTAGAAATAAAAAATTCAAGTTTTGAATAATGTAGTAGCTAAATAGGTGGTGCTTTTTATATGGCATAACATAACGAAACCCCTTTCGATAAAAGCTTTTTCATACAAAATAAAGGGTATTTAGTAGCAAATAATTACAATTAACAAACTGTAAATTTTTAAATAGATGAAATTTATGAAGTAATTGATGTAAATGATAACAATTAACTTATTAAAATTGACAAAATTTTATATCCTGGATTGACGTACTTAATAAAGATATCAATAAAAGCAGAAGGTGAATGGTAAAATACATTCAATAACACTAATAATTTTGGAAATATTTATGACCTTTTAATTCATCCATCTAATAATTTTTTATCTTTAACTCCTCCATAACTATTAAAAATTAACTTTCCTTTCCTCTTGTGGTATGCATTTGATATTCCATTTAATGAAAAATAAATTATAAACTTTGAACCAATAAACATCAATTTTGTTTTATAATCCACCATATAAACTTAAGAATACTAAATATATAATGGATGTAAAGAATAAGGAATGGAATAAGTTTTCTTAGATAATAAAAAAAATTAGCAATATATTTGTAAATATTGTGATTAAATGAAAGCTAGTTATGAAGGAGTATGTGAAAATTGTTAAACTGATTATTTCTCCTTATGCTATGGAAACTATTCAATGCTAAAATAATCTTATTGGAGATCTAAATATACAGTTGACCCTTCTGATATTTATTTTTGCTCAAATAATCCACAGAGTTGCTAAGGAGGTAATTCAAAAAATTCTATTTAAATTTTATCATACTAAATTTTAGTTCAAAAATTAATAAAATTTTAAATGGTTCCCCATTTTAATAATCCAACCATCCTCTTATAAACTTAATTAATTTTGATCCTATTAAAATTACTTGTTTTGTTAATTTTTTAATATATTAATATTTAAGGTAGTGGTATTGGAAATGAATTATGTTATGAAGGTCATATAGGAGCATAGTGTTTAAATTGTGATATAAATGGAAACTATTGGTAAGAAAAATATTCTTTGGTAGGCTTTTTCTAATGCGTTAAATGTAGCTCTATTTCATCTAATACAATGAAAATAATTGCCATATTAGGCTTTATAGCTGTGAGTTTGCTTATTATAATTATATCAACATTTAGAAGGCTTTAAAATGAAATATGTGCCTTTTATTTGTAGAAAATGGGAATCTTTTATATTGGTAAAACATTGCAGAAATAGTCATTAACATCAACATACATCAAAATTTTACTATTTCATGTATAAGTTTTGATTATATCTTACTAACTTACAAAAGTAGATATTATTTCTACTCTTCTATCATTTTAGATCCTCATGTATAATCCATTAAATTCATCTATTTTTTCTTTAAGTTGCCTGATTTCTTAGTATAACTTGCTCTATACAAGTGTGGGATTCTCTTATTTACTATTTACATTTCTGATCCCGATATCTGTTTGCTTTTTCGCTATATTTATTTCTTTAATAATTTCCCTTTTAAAAAAGAGACTTATATAGAGATGCCGATATGCTACTTTTCTAACATTCATTTATATGTTTATCTCAGTATTTTACTCTATCTTATTAGAATAATGTCTGTAAAGCTTATTTTGCCTCAACCTAGAAAAAGAAAAGTCCTACTCTTTAATTGATTTAAGTTTAGAATGCGGTAGTTCTTAAGAACTCTTCAAAATAAGAATCTTTAGCTTGATAATATTAATAATATTTTTAATATGTTTTCCTTTAACCATCTTTTTTTAGGTTATTAAATCTAGAAACAGACTCAAAAAAGTAAAAGTAATGTTTACCTATGGATTTTTGTACAATGAATATAAAGTGAAGTTTTATTATTGGGAAATTATAAGATTTACAGTAAAATCTTTGCTTATATTAATTTCAGTATCACTGAAAGGGTATTCATAAATAAGTTTGCTCATGATGAATATGCTACTGTTTTCTTATTTTATAGCATTAAATAACTTAAGGCCTTTCATCTCTGCATTTTTAAATAAATTAGAAAAAATATCTATCATACTTTCAATATTTTTATCAATCTCATCAATAATGTATATGTCAACTGATTAAAATGAAGATGCATCAATTTATAATTTTAGAAGAATATTTTTTGTTACAACGCAAATTGTAAACATGATATTCGTGTTTTACTGTATATGGCTTATAATAACATCGTTTTTAGAAAGTTATATAGTTCAACTAAAAAAACATCTAAAATGTAAGTGCATCTAGAGAATAAATTCTGTGAATAACCTTAGGATAAACTCAAATATAAAAAAGTTTATATAATGTGTAAAAAAAATAAAATAAAATTACATAAGAGACGATGAAAGTAATTATTTACTTAATTTATAGTTTGATTAAATTGAATGAAATTCCTTAAAATTATATACTTTCTTTTTATTTTATAATTTAATATGTACTTTGTCAAATATTAAATAAAAATTTTATTTATTTTAATTTTGAAATTTATAATTAAAATTTTAATATAAAAAGTTTTACTAATTTTGAGGATAAAAATAATTTTTTTTATTAAATTGATATATCGAATAAAATATTTAATTGTAAAAAAATAAATTCCAATAAAATTAAGTGAAAATGTGCATAAAAGAAATAAAAACATATTTTTAATGAATCATTAAAAAACAAAAGATGAAATTTTTATTAGTAAAAATAGTGTTATTTAAAAATACTTAATCTTAATTAAAAATTTTAAAAATAGTTTATAATAATTAGGGATTAAAATTTCATTTTTAAAACTGATAATTTAGTTTCATTTAAAGTAATAAATGAAATTAAGAAATTTATTAATTATTTTTGACTATTTTCAAACATTAAAATCTATTAATACAGCAGATAAAAGTATCTTCTTTTTTAATTTGACGAAATTCTTATTTTCTGATAACTTTTTTAATCGCTATTTATAATGATGTTATCATAATTGATGTGTCATTTAATTTAATTAAGCATTATTAAAAAATCAAAAGAAGCGATAAGAAATGGATAAGAAAAATTTACTTTTAAAAATTTATTTATTTATTCCTAATTTACTGAATTACCTTTTTAATTAAGATTTAATGAATTTTTTTATATTTTTTGATAAGTTTTTCTAATCAAAATGTTTTTGTTAGCTGACAAGCATTTCTGATAGTAATATCAAAAAAGACAATTTATTCTTTTATAATGATTGAGAAAATCGCTTAAGACTTTTAATTTTATTAATTAAAGAATGTTTATTATTTTTATAATACTTAATTTGGGAAAAACAAATCTTAAAAATCTAAAATTAATTCTTAATAAAAGTAAAATGAGAGTATTTTAATTTTAACTTAAGTTAGAGGAAAAGCCAAATTTAATAATTAGGCTAATAATATTACTTTTATTTATTAGCAAAATAATCTGTTGGGATAATTTAGATATTTAAAACTAAATTATTGAAACAGAATGTGATAAAAATATTATTTAATAGCTGGAAGTGTAGAATATTTAGTATGAATGCGAATTCAATAGAATATCAATTATATATTAAAATGAAATCAGATTAAATTTAGAATTAAGAAATTTAGAGATTAACTCCTATTTGTATATTTATAAAGTCAAAAAAGTAAGTATTAATAATCTTATTTTAGATAATTTTAGATTTAAAAAAGATCTTGATTATTAATATTTTATTAATTTAATAGATGTAGATAAACTATAAATTGAAAAAATAATAATTTCTAATTCTTTTTCTAACGATTTGTAGATAATAAATGCCTTAGATATTATTGATATTTAAATAGACTAATTAGCTTTAAGTAATTTGAGTATCAGAAAAAGTATCTAACTTAAATCTGATAATCTTGTTATTGATAAGCTTATTTTATAAAATACTGAAGTATGTGAACTAATTTTTGATGGATAGGTTAATCTAAAAATTAATGAAATTTCTTTATTGTTTAATGAATAATATCATCCATCATAAAATTAATGTTTTTAACACTATACATCAAGAAATTAAATAGACATTTAAAATATATTTATTGATATCAAATAATTAAATAGCTTTCCTGAAAGTTTTTTTAATTTTGCTAAAATTTATTAAGGATTCCCTGAAAAAACAACTAATATTAATATTAATCAAATTTAATTTCTATCTCAATTCTCAGAAACGGATTTAATTATTGCTTTAGATCTAGGTAGGAATGAATAGTAAAATACTAATTTATTTATACAAAAAATAATTTGTAGATAAATAGAAAAAAGTACAAGTAATATGTAAATTTTGTTGAATTAATTTATGAAAGTGAATATAGATGAGGTTGTTATAGAAGGATTCTCTATTGCATCTATGAAAAATAACAACTATGTTAATTTTTTGAGTGCTACTAACATTGATAACTTGTACATTGATTCTATAGTAGTTTAGTAAAGTAATTAAATTGATGGTATTATCTTTATGGGATAAGAAATATAAAAATTAATAATATAATAACTTGAAATATAACCCTAGGTAAAATTTTCTTAAAATGTAATAGATTTAACTAATTGTATTACAACTTAAATTTTTAACATTATTGCTAGTGAAATTTAACTTACTGGATATTTGATTAAAGCATAAAACATAATAGATATTTCTTTATTAAAAGTTTCTTTATCTGGTATATACTTTTGCTAAGAAACGATTTTTAATTTAGTAAACATTTAATATGCTTCATTTAAAAGACTTGAATTAGAAAAGATAATACCCTAATTATTTCAAAGTACTATCTTTTATATAGAATAATAAAAATAATTGTACTATAACTATTAATTATAAATTTTCTATTCTGATACTCAAGCAGATTTATAATCTAAGTAAAACTTATAATTCCTTGTTTTAAATGGAATTCTGTTTTTTTTATAGATCGAAGATTTCTAAGTAATAAATGGTTCTTCTAGCAATTTTGGTGGTTGTATAAATTTCATTTCATAAACTGATTATACATAATCATAAGTAATTATATCCAATTCCAAATTCATAAATTGCAAAAGTAAATATTCAGGAGGAGCTATTGCTGGTATTAAATAATTAGAAATAAAGAATTCAAGTTTTGAAAAATGCAGTAGCTAAATAGGTGGCGCTTTGTATATGGTATAAGATGACCAAATCCTTTTTGATAAAAGCTTTTTCTTACAAAATAAAGGATATTTAGTAGCAAATAATTACAATTAACAAACTGTAGATTTTGAAATAGATGGAATATATGAATTAATTAATCTAAATGATGACAATTAGCTTGTTAAAGTTGATAAATTTTTATATCCTGGATTGACATACTTGATTAAGATATCAATAAAAGCAGAAGATGAATGGTACAATACATTCAGTAATGCTAATAGTTTTGGAAATATTTATGACCTTTTAATTAATCCATCTAATAATTTTTTATCTTTAACTCCTCCTCAATTATTAAAAATAAATTTTCCTTTCCTCTTATGGTATGCATTTGATATTCCATTTAATGAAAAATAAATTATAAACTTTGAACCAATTAGCATCAATTTTGTTCTATAATATACAATTTTAACTAATTAATACAAAATAAAAAATGGGTGTAAAGAATAAGGAATGGAATAAGTTTTCTTAGAAAACAAAAAAAATTAGCAATTTATTTGTAAATATTGTGATTAAATGAAAGCTAGTTATAATGGAGTATGTGAAAATTGTTAAACTGACTATTTTTCATCATGCTATGGAAACTACTCAATGCTAAAATAATCTTATTGGAGATCATAATACACAGTGGACCCTTCTAATATTTATTTTTGCTCAAATAATCCTCAGAGTTGCTAAGGAGGTAATTCAACAAAAACAATTTTAATTTTATAAAATTTAATTTGTGCTTCTTTCTATTTTTTAGTTTGAGCTATGAAAGCTTGATACTACTTATTTTTGCTTATTTAGAAAATATTAAGGTCAACACAACTATTAAAAATTATACATTTAAAATTTTGAATATTTTAAACACCACAAATTTAAAAATTATACAAAAACAAACACCAAATTTTTATTTTTTTAATTTTAAATGGAAAAATTTTGGCCTTAATATTCTAAAATAAAAAATTTAGCCTTAATTAATGAGGATTTATGGTATATAATTATAATAATTAAAAAACTACATTTTATATTAATTTTAATAAATTTTAATCATTTTAGGTAGCAGTATTGGAAATGAATTATGCTATGAAGGTCATATAGGAGCATAGTGCTTAAATTGTGATATAAATGGAAACTATTGGTAAGAAAAATATTCTATGGTAGGCTTTTTCTAATGTGTTAAATGTAGCTCTATCTCTTCTAATACAATAAAGATATTTGTGATACTAGGATTTATAGCTATGAGTTTGCTTATTATAATTGTATCAACATTTAGAAGGCTTTAAAATGAAATATGTGCCTTTTATTTGTAGAAAATGGGAATCTTTTTTATTGGTAAAACTTTGCAGAAATAGTCACTTACATCAACATACATTAAAATTTTACTATTTCATGTCTAAGTTTTCATTATATCTAACCAACTTACAAAAGTAGATGTGATTTCAACTCTTTTTTCATTTTAGATCCTAATGTATAATCCACTTAGCTCATAATTTTTTTCCTTAAGTTGCCTGATTTCTTAATATAACTTAATCTATACAAGTGTGGGGTTCTCTAATTTATTATTTATTTTTCTTGTTCCAATTACTGCATGCTCTTTCGCAGTATTTATTTCTTTAATAATTTGCCTTATTAAAAGGAGATTTATTTAGAGATGTCAGTATGCTATTTTTCTAACATTTATTTATATGTTTATCTCAGTATTTTACTCTATCTTGTTAGAATAGTGTCTCTCAAGCTTTTTTTGCCTTAAACTAGAAAAAGAAAAATCATACTCTTTAATTGATTTAAGTTTATAGTGTGAAAGCTCTTAAGAATTGTATATAATAAGAACTTTTAGCTTGATAATATTAATTATATTCTTAATATGTTTTCCGCTAACAGTCTTTTTTTAGATTATAAAATCTCGTAACAGATTAAGAAAAGTAAAAGTGATGTTTACATATGGATTTTTATACAACGAATATAAAGCAAAGTTTTATTATTGGGAAATTATAAGATTTGCAGTAAAGTCTATTTTGATTTTAATTTCAGTATCACTGAAAGGATATCCATAAATAAGTTTATTAATAATGAATATGTTGCTGTTTTCTTATTTTATAGCATTAAATAACTTAAGGCCTTTCATTTCTGCATTTTTAAATAATTTAGAAAAGATTTCGATTATACTTTCAATATTTTTATCAATTTCTTCACTAATGTAAATGTAAACAGATTAAAATGAAGAGACAACGATTTATAACTTTAGAACAATATTTTTTGTTACTTTCCAAAGTATTAACTTATTATTCATGCTTTACTGTATATGGCTGATAATAACATCTTTCTTAGAAAGATAAATAGTTAAACTAAAAAAATATATAAAATGTAAGTGCATCTAGAAAATAAATTCTGTAAATAACCTTAAGATAAATTCTAATATAAAGAAACTTATTTTATGCACCAAAAAATTGTAATATGCATAAGAAAAACAAAATTAAAATAATTGTTTATTTCATTTTGAAATTGATTAAAACTATTGAATTTATGAGAAAAAACAGTTACTTCTAATTATAATTAATCTTTGATAGCTTATTATGTATATTTATATTGTGTTTATTTATTTAAAAAATAAGCAGTATACATACATGTTTTATTTTTATAGCACTTTGATAATTTTTAAATATTTTTTTTTTCTTAATTCTTGTAAAAAAAAGACTCTGAGAAAAAATTAAACAAACTTCAAAAATTCATAAAGAAATATACAAACTAATAAATAATAAATAATAAATAAATAAAACAAATAAATAAATTTATAAATTTAATCTTTATGTTTAATTTTAAGAAACATTTCTGAGTGTATAAATACATGTATTTATATGCGAGTATATTATTATTATTATTATCATCAATTTAATTGCCACTTTTTAAATATTGAAGAAAAATATATCATTAAATAGTAAATTAGAAGGAAAAAAATTAAGAAAAAATATGAAATAATAAGATTAATTAATTTATAATAAAAGCAAAAGTTAAAAATAAAATGATAAGCTAAATTAGCAAAGAAAGAACAAAAAAAAAGCAAGCTAAAAAGAAAAACAAAAAAGAGCTTAATTGTTTTTAATTAGTTTTTATAATTTAAAATATCACAATCCAAAACAAATAAACTATTTTTACTGAAGAAAAAGTGTTAAATTTGAGAGATTAATGTTATTTGCTAAACCAAAACCTAAGCCTGATGCACCTTTATCACGAATATAATTTTCACTTTTTAAATATTGAAGAAAAAATAAGTTAATTAGAAGGAGAAAATGAAGAAAAAATATGAAATAATAAGATTAATTAATTAATAATAAAAGCAAATGTTGAAAATAAAATGATGAGCTAAATTAACAAATAAAGAACAAAAAAAAAGCGAGCACAATAAAAAGAAAAACAAAAAAGGGCTTTATTGTTTTTAATTAGTTTTTATAATTTAAAATATCACAATCTAAAACAAATAGACTGTTTTTACTGAAGATAAAGTGTCAAATTTGAGAGATTAATGCAATTTGCTAAACCAGAAGCTAAGCCAGTTGCACCTTTGTCTCTAATACTATTGCGACTTTTTAAATAAAAGAAAAAATATATCATTAAATAGTTAATTAGAAGGAAAAAATGAAGAAAAAATATGAAATAATAAGATTAATTAATTAATAATAAAAGCAAAAGTTGAAAATAAAATGATGAGCTAAATTAACAAATAAGGAACAAAAAAAAAGCAAGCACAATAAAAAGAAAAACAAAAAAGGGCTTTATTGTTTTTAATTAGTTTTAAAATATCATAATCTAAAAAAAATAAACTGTTTTTACTGAAGAAAAAGTGTCAAATTTGAGAGATTAATGCAATTTGCTAAACCAGAAGCTAAGCCAGTTGCACCTTAGTCACGAATTTAATTGCGTCTTTTTAAATAAAATAAAAAATATATCATTAAATAGTTAATTAGAAGGAAAAAATGAAGAAAAAATATGAAATAAAAAGATTAATTAATTAATAATAAAAGCAAAAGTTGAAAATAAAACGATGAGCTAAATTAATAAAGAAAGAACAAAAAAAAAGCAAGCACAATAAAAAAAAGAAAAAAGAGTTTTATTGTTTTTAATTAGTTTTTATAATTTAAAATATCACAATCTAAAACAAATAAACTGTTTTTACTAAAGATCAAGTGTCAAATTTGACAGATTAATACAATTTGCTAGAGCAGAACCTAAGCCTGATGCACCTTCATCACGAATTATATTGTTACTTTTTAAATATTGAAGAAAAAATATATTTTTAAATAGTTAATTAGAAGGAAAAAATGAAGAAAAAATATTAAATAATAAGATTTAATTATTTCATAATAAAAGGAAAAGTTGAAAATAAAATTATGAGCTAGATTAAAAAAGAAAGAACAAAAAAAAAGAAAGCACAATAAAAAAAAAGAAAAAAGAGTTTTATTGTTTTTAATTAGTTTTTATAATTTAAAATATCGCAATCTAAAACTAATAAACTGTTTTTACCTAAGATCAAGCGTCAAATTTGAGAGATTAATGCAATTTGCTAAAGCAGAACCTAAGTCTGATGCACCCATTGCACCAAGTTAATTACTACTTTTTATTTATTGAAGAAAAAATATATCATTTAATAGTTAATTAGAAAGAAAAAATGAAGAAAAAAAATGTGATAATAAGTTTTTTAATAGTAAATGCAAAAGTGAAATATAAAATGATGAGCTAAATTAACAAAGAAAAAACAAAAAAAAAGCAAGCACAATAAAAACAAAAAGAAAAAAGAGCTTTATTGTTTTTAATTAGTTTTTATAATTTAAAATATCACAATCCAAAACAAATAAACTGTTTTTACTAAAGTCCAAGTGTCGGATTTTAGAGATTAAAGAAATTTACTAAATCATAACCTAAGTCTAATGTAAAATTATTACCAATTTAATAGCCACTTTTTAAATATTCAAGAAAAAATATATCATTAAATAGTTAATTAGAAGGAAAAAATGAAGAAAAAATATGAAATAATAAGATTAATTAATTAATAATTATAGGAAAAGTTGAAAATAAAATGATGAGCTAAATTAACAAAGAAATGACAAAAAAAAGCAAGAAAACGAAAAAAGAGCTTTATTGTTTTTAATTAGTTTTTTTATTTAAAAATATCACAATCCAAAACAAATAAACTGTTTTTACTCTATACAAAGTTCCGATAAATCAGAACCAAAGCATGATACAACTTCAAATTCACTTTTGTAACTTTTTTAATATTGAAGAATAAATATATCATTAAATAGAGTAAGTTGCCATACAAACTTACAAAAAGCAAGTTTTATATACCATTTTTACATTTTATAAAATTACAATTTTAAATATTTTTTATGGATTTTTTTCCTCTAGGTTTTCCAAATTTATTTTTTTTTCAAAAAAAAATGATATGTTATAAGAATATACCAAATATATTATTTCAAATTTTACATTTTATCAATTTACAGCTTTCTAAAACTCAAAAATAAAGCTGCTTTAAGATAATTAAGCTTTATTTATTATGTTATTATGATATATTACATTTCGCCTTTTATAAATTAAATAGGCATTTTACTCTAATTAATTAGGAGGAAAAAATGAAGAAAAAATATGAAATAATAAGATTAATTAATAATTAATAAAATTAACAAAGAAAAGAATGAAAAAATAAGAAATCATAATAAAAAGAAAAAGCAAAAGAAATAAAATCAATTAAAAGATCTTTAATGTTTTAAATTAACTTTTATAATTAAAAATATTATAATGCAAAAAAAATAAACTGTTTTTATTAATTGTAAGTTTTAATAGCAAAATACAAAGAATAAATATCAAATAATAAATAATTAAAAATTGAAATGTAAATTAAGTTAAAATAGCTAAAAAATTTTTGTTTTTGTAAAAATCAATAAATAAATAATGATGATAATTTCTTTTATAAAAATTATCTATTTAATTAAATTGAAAATTAAATGTACAAAAAATATTAGTAATAATAAAAATAATATTTTTTAATTAAATATACTTCAGATCAATATTGAGAACTTAATGAGATAAAAGTGAAGAGCTTAAAAACTATTTTTATTAATATATATAAATTTAAAGGATATTAATAAAAAAATTAATAATTACTTCTTCCAAATTATCATATTTTTTAATCTATTATATCATTTATTTTTTTTTCAAAAATATTTAATAGCAATTTATGAAATTTAATTAATTAATTAATAATAAATGGATAAAAAGTACAAATAAATATAATAATTAATTAATCATCAAATATTAATTAATATATTTGGTTTTATGATGAGATATCACAGTAAAATTAATTTAACATTCACTATTTAAATTTACTATTTGTATTTAAAACATACACTTAAAAATATATAGTAGTAATTAGAGATGGCCATTTATTCATTTAGTCATATTTGAAAAAAATCTAGTAGTTAATTAATGCTCTTAAATATTATAAAAATAATGTTTATAAGTTGATTTTACTGTTTTAGCTCTGTAATTTTAGGAATATTTATCATATCTTTAATTATAGCAAGATGCCATACAAAAATTTAATGGCCTGCAGGCCACTTATTATGAAATATATTTTTTATTTGTTAATTTGTTAAAAAAATATGATTTTTATTTATATTATATAATAGAATTATAATTAATTTATAATTTAATTTATTATAATTTAAAAATAATTTATTTTTTTACTTTTAAAATTTTTAATTAAATTTGAGTACTACCAACCTTATCCTCTCCCCTCCTTGAATTGTTGAATTGGACATTTTACCACTTTTTTTAATTATTTGTTTATAAAAAGAAAACAAAATGTCGTTATTTAAATAAGATCTTCTTAAAGTATTACATTTATTATTAATTAAAAAAGTTTGATATGGAAGGTTTCTCAATAAGATTGATTATCTATCTATCAATCAATCTTTCCATTCATTAGCAGGAATAGATATAATTTGAATAGAAATTTCCGAATTATTCTTAAAATAGAAGGAGAGTTAATAATTTCAGTGAAGAGTTTAGAAATAGATTCAATAGAGAAAGAGAGTTAATGTCAGCAATCAAATTTGCTTGATTGAAAATATAAATAATCTCCATGGTCTAATATTTATATTGATTAATTTACATATAATTAAAAATCAAAAAGTAAAACAATTAATTAATTGATCTAATCAGAAACAGTATTTTTTAATCTGATTATAACAAATTATATAAGAAAATGAAGCGCGAAGAATAAGATCGAAAATCTGAGTTTATAACTCTTTTATAAAAACAGGAAAATGGTGTTTAAAATGGTGTATAAAATAATCAAGAATAAACTGAAAAGAAAAGTAAGCCAATAAGAAAAGTCAAAGTGAAAGCACTTAAAGGTTCATCATACGTGATCTCTTTAGAAGATACTGATATAGTTGGAGAAGGCTCATTTGGCAAAGTAGTTAGAGCCTACGATATTAAAAACCAAAATGAAGACTTGGTAGCTAAGATAATACCTTTAGATGATCAATAGAAATACGAATCAATGTAAATGGAGCTCAAAGTGTTGTGCAAATTACCATAGCATGTCAATTTAGTGAACTATAAAAAGATTAAAATGTCTTCGTAAAATAAGTAATACTTTATCATGGACTACTGCAATGGTGGTACTCTTACCTAATACCTTAAAAACCAAAAAAAGATATCAGAAAATGAAATTCTCGAGTTTTTGCAGCAATTTTGCAGAGGCTATAGAGTTCTTTACAAAGAAGGCATTATTCATAGAGATATCAAACCAGACAACATTTTAATACATAATAGGATTTTTAAAATCGCTGATTTTGGTCTAGCAAAGATAGTTGATACTTTATAGGTTTAAAACATCTCTACAAGGTAATTACGATTTTATTTATTTTTTATTGGATATTCTTGCTTTTTAGCTATAAAGAAAGATTCATAAATATTTATGATTAAGAAATCTAATATTGCTCCATATAATTTGCTTCATTGATTTTTTTAGGCTTTATATGAATTTCTGATCTGTTTTTTTTAATTGACAAATAAAATCAATCAATTATTTCTGTTGAAAATCTTTGGATTGTTAAAAAGGAATGAATATATTTAATAATTATTTCACAGTAAAACCATTCAAACTGAATCAATAGCAAAATAATCATTTATTTGTTAAAATACAAAATAATCAATTTAAAATATGAATGAACTGCTTACCATTTTATAATAAGATTTTTAAAATTTAACATTTTAGAAAATACTTTTTTGATTGAAATTTAATTTAAATATTAATTAGAAATAATTTTATTTACTTTTAATTTAATATTAAAGAGGTACTCCACTTTATATTGCTCCTGAACTTGTGAAGAAAGAAAAAGCTTCTTCTAAGGTAGATATGTGGTCTCTAGGAGTCATATTATTCAGAATGTTGTTTAAGGGTTAGTATCCTTTTTTAGATCCTTTGATAAAGTATGATGTTCCAACAGCTTTAAAGCATATTTAATAGAAGAAACTGATAATTCCTTCAAATCCTTAAAGATCTCCTGAAATTATTGATTTAGTGAAGAGAATGCTAGAAAAAGATGAGTCTAAGAGAATTAGTTGGGAAGAGCTTTTTAGCCATAATTTGATAGCTTTTTCTTTAAATGAAGAGGAAAATGAAAATTTATACGATGATCTTTCTGAAGAAAGTAGTTTAAAGGCAGGAAAATAATTATTGAAGAGCTCAGTGTTTATTAAAAAGATGGAAGTCATTAGATAATCCAAGATTTAGATCACTCATCTTAGTGATAAAAAACCTTAATAAAAAAAGAATTCCTTTGACCAACCTCAGAATAATAAATACTCAACTGATATGGAAAGTAGTTCTAGTTAGGAAGATGAAATAAAAGAAAATAGCTAGCAACAAAAAGAAAAAAAAGATGACAAGTTTAACATGGAGCAGATTAACATGAAAACAATGTAAACATTAATCAGACACAGCTAAAAGAGATTGAAAACTAACTTAGCAATTAATAAAATAGAAGATATCCTTTTAAATTTTAGAGAAAAAGTCCTCTTTTTAGATGTAATTTGTCTAAGAATGATGGTTATGAATAAGCTTGTTGAAAGGTAGCTCAAGCAAAAGCAAATAAAGCAAAGCAATTCTCCTAAATAAAATTAAAATAATATTGAAAATGCAGATAAAAGCGATAAATTATTAGAATAATATTTCACTCATTCTTAACAAGGAATATTTTTACTCTTAGAGATGGCATAGATCTTTAATAAATAGCTTTAAAATTTCAAGCCAGAACAATGCCCAGATATTCTCAAGGAAGAATGGAATGATTTCTTAATGTCTGATAACTAGCTAAACTTATCAAAATTATTAAAGCAAGACAAGGGCTGTTTGAATGAGTTTGCTAAATAATATATCTAAGAAAACGAATAAACTTATTTTGACAAGAAAGAATACCATTCTTTTATTAGCTAGCTTAATATGGAGAGATTGTTAGAGGAAATCCATGTTAATTTCTAAGAATTGCTCAAACTGTTCCCAAAAATCTACGAACAGATGGGCGATTATAAAAAAGGATTGCTTATCCTCTTTACTTATTTATTTGAAGCTTACTCCCTTAACTCTGATCATTGCGTTTTTCATGATTTTAAAAGATTCTAAGATTATTGGGCATATTACGAAGATATTGAATAAAACCGCAGTGAAATGGATCTCTATACTCAACTTGTTGAAAACATAAATAATATTTGAAATATAATAAGTCAACTTACTGAAATAGAATAACGACTTAACAAATTTTATCATAAATTTATATACAACTTTTAATAATACTAAAAAATATTTACTAAATTTTTATTAAAATTAATCTAATCTATATATATATTTACATTCTTCCCTTACATGACTTATTCTAATTTTGAAAAAATTCTGAAATCCTAAATTAAAAATAAATATTTTTTTATTTACTTATTTACAAAATAAATTAATTCACACACATGCTTTAATACGAAATTTTAATTTATTCTGTTTTCGTAAAAAAATCTTATTGAAATATATATCATTTTTTAGACAATAAAGTGTATTTTAATTAAAAAAGTAAATGCTTGATTATATTAAAAAATATTTAGCATATTACCTCAATAATAAAAACTAAAGAGAAAAGAGGTATAGATATAATTCTCTTTTGTAGGCATTTTTAAAAATCTTCATTTGGTAAAAAATTCCTCATTAATAAAAAGAGGATTTATGGTGTTTGCTTTGATTATTTTTATATATTTTTACATAAGATTCAATGAGTTATATATTAATTTATATGTTTGTTTGTTTGTTTTTAATTTAATTTGATAAAAATAATCTCAAAAGATATTGAAAATTAATTTAAATATGCTGAATTAATTATTAATTTTCTAATTTTTAGAAACTCGTTATAAACAAACACAAAAGACTTAAGTAATTAGCTTGCTAACTAACTAATTTACTAAATCATTGACATAGATTTTGTAACAATTTATTTACATTTTTTGATCAGAAAGTGAATTTTTCTAAAAATTTCTTTTGAATATTCTTTAAATTGTGGTCGTTTTCAGGCCACTTAGATAAAGATTCTTTAAGCTTATTTTATAATTCTTCCTTTTTGTTAGTTTTACAATCTTTAAGGATGCTAGCAAAACCGGCAAATATTTCAATATATTTATTTAAAACAGAGATTTTCTTCTTTTATATTTCACTTTATGAGTCGAAAACAGAGATTAAATTGGATATACTGGCAACAAAATCAGCAGAATCCTTCTTAATTAATTCTTAAACTTATGAATTTCTAATTGTGTAGTTTAATATACTAAGAATCTATATTAAATTAAAATTGGTTAATAATAATATTTTTTTCAAAATGCTTATTTACAAATTATCTATTTTTATCCTTTGCACCACCGTCTTTATTGAGAAGGGCATATTTTAACAAGCTAGGAAGTAACTTAAAAGCGATTTCTTGAGAATTTCTAATTATTTCTTTATAAAATTCTTCGCTGTAACTAATTTCTTTCTTTAATGCTGATTTTTCAAGTGCCTATAAAATTTAAAAGATTTTATTCAATTATAAATAAATAAATTTTTTTATTTATTATTGTTTACTTTTTCAATGGTTGATACCAAAACAGAAATATCTCCTAAATTCATTTGTAATCTAATTTTAAACAAACTTATGGCTGCAAAAGTTAAAGCAGAGTTGATGCTCTTCTTAGGTTGTCTAATAATTATTTCAAAATTCATAAGAAAATATGACAATAAATAACTTTATTTACTTAGCTAAAACTTTAACGACTTCAGTGAAGCATTCTTCTATGTTATCTCTATATTCAGGAAGCATTTTAACGTGTCTTTCGAAAAACTTTCTTACGATTTGGCAAATCCTAATTAAAATATTCAATAATTAATTATTTAAAAGCATTAAAATTTCTAATCTAAGCATTGCAAAAAAGATATCAATCCTTTCTCAAATATACTTCTTATCAAATTGATCAATTAAATAGTTTTTAAAAGCTAATAAAATTTATATAAAATGGAATATCTATAAGCAAGCATTTTAACTTTGTAATTAATATCCTTCTTTTAGCTGAAAAACAAATCAATTTATAAGAAATGATACTCATTGTTTTATTAAAAATAACAAGATATATCTTTTTATTTTTATAAAGCAATTCCATTTTTATTATAATATTTGTATGTGTTGATTTAATTATTTCAACCATGACTGATATTGTTTAAATTAGCCTATATAATTAATTTATTTATTTATTACTTTTCAACAAAAGATTGCTTTTCCTTATCGTTAGCGTTATCCTTGACTGTTTAGAACAATTGAGCAAGAGATTGGATAAATATTTGAGGGTTCTTTGTTTTTTTAATAAAAATTTCAAGCATGTCGAGGACTCTGAACTTGAATTCAGTGACCTTTCTTTCCTTTTCTTTCTGTTTTGATAATAAATTGATGATTTTAATATAATTTTATACTTTGTTGATTTTAAAAATTATTTACTTTGCTCTTCTTGGTTGAAGATTTTTTCATTTGAGCTAAATTACCAAGCATTTCGTTTTGATTTTCGAGAGCTTCTTGATCAAAAAGTTCTTCATCTTCGATTTCAATGTCGCTGCTATCTTCATCATCACTTTGTTCTTTCTCCTTTTATTTTTTAATCTTTTAGTCCTTTTATTTCTTGTTATCTTGCTTTGAGACAGCCTACTTGTTGTTATCTTTTTTGTTTTATAGCTTAGCCTTTTGATCTTGTTTTTATTTTGAAATCTTCTTTTAGCCAACCTTTTCTACGGAAGCTTATTTTTTAATTTATTGTTATGGCTTCTCTTCTACATTAGATTCTACTTCATCTTAGAACCCCTCTTCTTTATGCTTCAACTCAGCCATCTTCTTCTATTTATTGGCAAAGTTCTTATTATCCTTTTTTTAGGATTTTTATTTCTAGTTGAAAATACGCTACTTTTTATGCTATTTGTTGGGATTTATTGGAGCCATTTTTAGATTCAGGTTTTATTGAATTAATAATAGATAGTATCTTTGATAATTTATTCAAATAATATTGATAAAAAATTAATTTAATTTAATTACTTTTTTTGGCCTTTTCTATTTTTCGTATTTTTTAATCAAATCATATTTAACTTTCATTCATTCATTTGCACATTTCTTGTGAAGTTAAAACAAATATCTAATAGTTATGCTAAAACTTCTATTAATCAACCACCTTAAAAGGCATTCATTTATTAATTATTCTACTAACTAAATAACTAAATAAATAATTTTTCATTTATTTGTTAAATGCATTGAATTTGAAAAATAATAAGAATATCTAAATATTTATTTATTTATTTTATATCTTTGCATTAAATATTTGCACATTTTTTATTTATTTATTTTATCTAATTTTACATGCAATATCTTCAAGTTACTTCTACTGAAATATGAAAATGCATGAGTATTTATTTAATTTATTTTATTTTTTAGTAATTAATTTAATTTAATTTTATCATTTCATATTAAAATAAATATTTTCAAATTCAGAATATTATTTTATTTAATTAATTAAAACTAAGACAAAAATATGCAAATAAAAATATATTAATAATTATTCTTTTATTTTCCATTTAGATTTACTTAATTAATAATAAAATATTTATTTTATAACTTTTTCATTTAATTTTAGATTATTTTGATTTTTTAAATTAAATTAAAATAGGATTAATTTTTATGGATTTTTGTTTTTTATTAATTCTAAAAAATTACATTTGTGATAGATTTACTTTTATTTACATTAAAGTATAAACATTAATTAAATTATAATAAACACAATTAATATTTTTTATTTACAATTTATAATTTGTTAATAATCAGTTTACATTGGAAAATTTATTTAAAAGTGCAAGTTTAGCTTAAATAGATTGGATATAATGTTGATCAAGTTGTTATTTTTGTTCTAAATATTCGTCATTGTTGAATTGGTTTTTGTTGTTTCTTAAAATACTTTCTATTTGTGATGCTTTTTTATCTATGTTTTTTGTTTTTATAATTACTTTGTTTAGTTGTTCTTCTTTGCTCAGTTTTTAGTTGTTGATGTCTTTTTACCAATCATTGATTTTATTGTTATTGTTAGAATGAACTAAATAGTTTGCATATTTTATTTTTTCTTGAATGATAGGACTCACTGGATTACTTTAAGCAATTAAATTTTTAGAGTGTTTTTAAGGAGTTTCTTAAGCAGTCTCAAGTGGAGTAATTATCTTTTTCTTATTTATTTACTTTCGTGAATACTGCAAATAACTATTTCCTAACTTCCTCATCTCTAATTCTTGAAGATAATCAATTACTTTTTAGTCATCTTCACCATAAATATTAAAATTCTCAAATGAGCTTTTTTCGTTTGAATTGTTTATATTTAATTTTGTTGATTTTTAATTATCAATTTTATTATAGGCTAGATATTATTCTTTTTATTTGGTTGAATTCATTTTTTCAGGAGTAAGATTTTAGTTATTATTCATAATATGAATTAAAAAATGTTCACCTTTTTAGTCATAATTAAATTAATTTTATTTGCTTGAAATTTACTTTAAAGGAGTTTGCTACTTTTTTGAAATGTTTTTATTATCAAACAATTTTGAATTGTGAAATTCTTTTTAGAATAATTAAGAATCTGTTTAAATATTAACAAGAGAGTCAACAGATTAGTTTTATTTATTTTTTGAATGATTATCTACATAGTATTATTTTATATTTTAATTAGATTTGTTTGTGTTTTACTACTTTTTTAACTTTTCATTGCTTACTTTTAAAAAATCATTTTTTTAGTTTTAACTTAATTCATTTCTATTGATTTAATCTTGTTTATTCTAAATATTCTATTTATGACTTAAATCAACTGAATATTGTTAATTTCTTACAGACTGTTTCTTGCTAGTTCTGATTGTTTCAATAGAATTTTATGATTGAATTTATCTGTGGCTTTACTTTAAGTCTATAGGAGCTAAATTATTTTATCTTTTTAAAATCTACATGTTTGCAATATCATCTCGAGAGGATTGTTTAATTGACCTTGGATTCAAAATTTGGTTATTATTTACAATAATATTGGGTTAGTTGTTATTCATTTAATTAGATGAGAGTTATTTATTCGTTTAAGTGTTTTGAATATTATATCTTTTATTATAAGTATTTGTAGAAGCACTTCTAATTTTATCTTTCTAATTTGGCTTATTGTTTTATTAGTTATTTTTATCAAACATGTAAGATTCTTTACTTTCAATAAAATCAACAGATTTATTGAATTATACTGAATTTTGATTGGTGTGAGTTTCATATGAAGAATTTAAATTACTTTCTAAAGCAGTTTGATCAATATTTTAATTTTACTTTATCACCTTCCACTATCTAAATTTCTTTTCATTCTGAAACTTATTGATTTATTCCCTCTATTAATTCAATTCTATTTACTTTTAGTAGTTTATCTTTGGAGCATACATTTCTCTAACCATATTTGAATATATTTTCTCTTTTTGTACATTTCGTTTTGGAGTCACATTTGAAGAGTTACTTTCAATATTGTAACTCCTATCATCATCATTACTATTTTTACTGTCTATATAAATAATGTAATTAAATATTTAATTATCAAATTAACTACCCAATCATTATTAATTCTCTACAACATCTAAAATAAATTTGACAATTAAATCATGAATTTCTATTTAATATAAACTGTAAGTTCTCATTAATTCACTCCAAATTATATTAACCCCCAATATTAAAAAAAAATTTAAAAATATCATCTGGTATTTATTCTTAAAGAAAGATGTTGATTTAATAAATAAAGATAGGTGGTATATAAGATTTAAGATTTCTTTAAAGTTTAATATGAAGTTTAAGATAATAAAAGAATGTTTAATTTTAAAAATATTTAGATTTTTTACCTTAATTTTTAATGGAAATATGCTAGCTTTTATTGACAGAGTGTGAAATATATTTTGATGATTTAGCTTTTTAGTAAGAATTTTGGCTTTATTAATGATTACTTTGATTTAAAAGTAGATTTTATCTTTCGATAGGTTTTCTTTGTTCTTTTATTTGTTAAAGTATTACTACTTCTTAAACTTTATGATACAATTTTTCTCTTTCTTCAAATTCTTCTTCCATTTGTGTATAAAGAGGTTTTTGTTGCTAATATTCTTTATAAAATTCTTTAAATTATCTATCACTTTCTCTTCTTTTTGCTTGTCTTTCTTTCAATTATATGTTATGTTTTTCTAATTTCTTTTTAAACTCTTCCCTTTTTTCCTCTCTTATTTTTTATAGTTTTTCAAGTTCTTCGAATTCAGTTTGCTTTTAAATTAATTCCTACTTTTACTTTCTTTTATTTATTCTCTCAAGTCTCTGCTGCTTTTCTTCATGAAGTTTATTTATAAATTTGAAAACTTCATTTTGTTTCTATGGGCTATTTTCTACATATATCTTTCTACTTTGTTGATTTCTATGCTCTTGTTTAGACTGTTGACTGTGTGAAACATTATCATTTAATACTTAACTTGATTCTAACGTAATTCTTTTTTCAGATTTTCCATTTAAGCATTAGATATCAATTTAAGCTTTTGTTTATTGTGTTAATAAGTTAATAAATTAATTATTTATATCTTTGATAGATATCAAGATAAATTAATTGATCATAAAATCATTTTAAATAAAAATATTTTGAAAATAAACCTTTGAATAAATATACTTTAGAAAATAGAATGACTTATTTTGTGTTTTTCAATTGACTTTTCTGGGCTTTTATCTTAAATATATTAGTCTCCGAACATATCTTTCTTATTGATAGCTAGCTAATATTAATTTTTTTAACATAAGCAATTTTAAAGAAAATCAATAATACTTTCTTTTCACATTTGAGAAATCCATTCATTAATTCTGATAATATTCTATCTTCCCTTTCGCAAACATAATCAGTAACTTCCTTTTATTTTAAGTATTTATTTACTTTAAAAAAACACAATTTTGCAAAGACAATATTTACTTCTTTTATATTTTGTGATGCTATAAACTAATTATAAAGGTTTGTCAAATATTACTGATCGTTGCAGATATATGCCCAATAAGCTCTATCCTCTCTTTCTTTTTTTACTCTTTAAATTTGCTAAATATTTTTGGTATACTTTAAAGGAGCAAAGATTGTTGTATTTATTTACTTCTATATTTTTTTTAGACAAACTTTATTTGCTTTTCATTAATAGCTACTAAATTATCTGTTTTTATACATATTCAACAGATAATTCCTATTATTATTCTTCTTTTTCATAATCATATGATGCATATTCAGTTGTCTTCTACACAGGATCTTAATTTTTTGAATTGAAGTTTAGCTACAAATCCTAAATATGTTCACTTTCATTGTTGTTTACTAGTTAACTCTTTATTAAATTGCTCATTGTAAATATAAAAAATAGGTTGAATAAATTAATAAATTTACAAATTTCAATAATATCTAAAAAACAAACAACACTTTTAACCAATTAATTAAATTCATTCATAAATTCGAATAAAACAAATATTTACTAAATAAATACTTCAAATATTGTGCAAGAAGTATAATTAATTTAATTATTTTTTTGTTAATAAATTATTAAACTATAATAAGAGTTAATAACTGAATTTTTCATTTCTTTTTTGTAAAATGTTCTCATACATAGATAAAATAATAAATCTTATAAAAAATATAGAGTATTAAATAGTTGATTAAATTAAATTAAGACAGGTTATTAAATTGTGCTTTGATAATATTTGATAAGAATTATTTTATTTAGTTGTTTCTTTTCTTCAAAAAATGTTCAACATTATTATAAATACACTCTTTATTTTAATTTTGTTTCTTTTCATCAAGTATCAAGATTAATCCTTAAAAGAAAAAATTAACAAAAATAGTAATTAATATTTAGTTTTTAAATTTGTGCACTAAGCAAAAATTATTTTGTTAAAACTATAGATAAATTGATATTGAAAAAAAAATATTTTATTTAATAAAGAAATGTAAAACTAAAAAAATTCAAAAAAGTTTGTTTTTAATGCTTAAAATTAATATATTTTTGTCTTTTATATCATCCATCCTTTTTGATGTATTTATTTAGAGTCAAAATAATTTTGTTGGATAAATAAATATTAACAATTATGTAGAAAAAATAAATGTCTTAATTGAAAAAATAATTTTTTGAAACTTTTATTCGTTATAAAATAATCATTAAAATTTTGTAGTAAAAATAAAATGAAAAAATGCATATGATGAATGAGGAATGTTGAATTTGATAAGAAAAATAACAAAAAAATAACAAATGTTTTTGAAATAACTTCATTTAACAATTAAATAAAATCCAAACATGCTTAGGCAAAAGAAAAGAATAATTTAATTGAAATGTAATTATTTAATTAATTAATTGCAAGATCATCAATTACTTATTATAGATAATAATAAATTTACTTTAGTAGAAAGGTAATTAATTACTTATTTAAACAAGCTAACAATAAACATATAAAAAAGAAATAATCAATAAACCAAAAATAGGAAAATTTACAATAGGCGAACTAAAATTTAAAGAGAATATTGATTCAAAATTTTGATAAAGCTCTTTAAAATTTATTGTAAATACCTTCAAATTAGTTAGAATATGTCAAAACTTACATAAAGTTTCTCAAAATATTTTTAGAAACTATATAAAACTGCATTAATAATAGCTGAAGAAAAGATTAACTTAAAAGTAGATTTAAGAGGATAGAACGTTTTGATTCTGATCAACACTCTATAAATGTGCAGTTATTTATTTTTAAATTCTATTAAATAAACTCAAGTTGTTGATCCAAAGTTAAAATTATTTGCATATTGGAGCTAATTTGCAAAATTATTCCCTTTATTTAGCAAATAAGGTGAAAATACTCTTGTCTTTATTTTATTAGTAGGAATAATAATAGCTCTACTTCTAATAGTTATTTATTTAGTTGTGCTTAATAACATGGTACACAATCACATTTAAACATATAAATACTATAGAAAGCTAATCAAGCGCATTAATAAATAAATAATAATATTTTTTATTATTTATTAATGGGTACTGCTAATTCCTCTCTCTGAAATATTTTTGGAAATAATTACCTCTAAATAATATTCCTAGAATATGACTTCTGAGCTCTAATATTATTCTTATTATTAAAATAAGCTGTTAGATATATTTTCTTATGTTGCTTTAATTGCGCTTCAGTGCTTTTATATTTTTATTAAATTAATACTTGTTAACTATAAATTTGGAGAGGACAATTTCATTTCATCTAAATTTTCTTTTCTTCAAATTATTACCTAAGTCTTTTTATTAATCATTCAAATTGAGTACTTTTCTGAAATTAACTTCGGCATTCTCTCAAATATTTCAGGTCTGATATGCGGCTTTGCATTAATAACAGAAGAAATATTTAATAATCAGATATCCAGCCTAGAAATGTCATGCAAGCAAATAAAAGCAAGCTTCTTTTTTAGTTCTCATTTTATTTTTGCATGCTACTATTTTGTGAATTGTAAAGTTAATTAAGAGTTCTTTTATTTTCTGTGCTTCTCTGCGCCCCTAATTTTTTACTGCTTAAGACAAACAAAAGCATATTTACTTTATTAAGGAAAGGTCTTTGCTCTCTCAGAAGAACATATGTAATAAATTTTATCTCTTTCTCTTTATTAGTAAATAGATAATTGATTATACTAGAAAGAAATAAAGAAAAAATAAAAATTTTAGGAAATTAAAAAATAATTCTAACAATTTTTATTTAGGATAAACTAAAAATAAAAAATTTATGATTTTTATTTTTAAATTTTATTTACTTTTTCTTAACAAAAATCTAATTTTATTTAATAACATAAAGATAAAAGTTTTCTAAATTTATTTTTTAAGTTAATATATTTATAAATATCAAGTATTAAATATTTCAAGTTTATTTGTGAGAAATATTTTTAAAATAAAACTAACTTATTTTTTAAAACATTGCAAAAAAGCATACTGCCTGTTATTTACCCTTTTAAATTATTTTGATGTTAAATTTTACCAGTTTAATTAAATTTTTATTGGTTACAGCTATATTTTTCCTATATTAAAATAGATGCTTTAATAGAAAAATTGAAGTGATTTTGGAAGAACTTCATTTAAAATATTGTAATTCGTATTATTCTTACAAAGAAAAAATTTAATTCTTTGAAATAGTTTAAAACCATAAAAAGTTTTGCACTAACTTCTAATGCGCTTGTAAGATCAAAGAGTAATTAGATAATAAATATTAAATAGATAAATAGTTTGTTCATAACTTGATAGAAAATATATTTTAATCAGTGTTAGAATAACCTAGATATACTTCTATATAAGATAAAAGAGAAGCGGTATTTCTGAAGTATATCACATTTGTTTCTTCTGTCTTAAATAATCCACTTAGAGCTTATTGCGAATTAAGATTGTTTAATAAAAAATATAAAGAAAATAATAGCTTTATTTTTAATGCGATTTCTCATTTACTTTCAAATTAACTTGAAAATATGATTCAAAAAACTTAAAAATCACTCTACTTAGATAAAGTCAAATAAGATTTAGATAATAATTTAGCTCTATCAATTCAACAAATAGTTTTAACAGAAAAAGTAGAAACGGCGTTCATAAATCTGGCTTCAAAATTTATTTCATAAAAAATCGTTTTCTTGTAGAGTTTAAAGCAATAAAAAATGTCATTTGAAAAAATCAAATTATCTTCAATAAAGTTATTTTAACAATATTAATTGTTTAAAAATTAGTTATCCGATAAACTTAACCTACTAAAAAATTAAAAGGAAATTTAGAGAAACTTCATCTTACTAAAGGTATTAATCAATCAATTTATTTATTTATTTTATAAAATCATTTTATATAATTTATATTAAATTAGACACCTTCCTTCCTCATAATTTAAAAACAAACTTAATTATTCAAATATAGCAAGATGCCATTCAATAAAAATTTTTGAAATTATTTAATTATATAAAAATTATTTGATGAAATTCTAAGCTAATAAGGATTATTTTATATTTTAATAATTATATTTTTATTGAAAAGATATAATAAATATTTGGGATACTAGCTCATGGAGAGATAAAAAGATCATTTAAATTGTAAAAAGAAATGAATTTCTTGATTAGTTAGAATATGGAAAGGTCTTAAAGTGAATTAAATTCTCTTAATTTGATTAAAGGGCATATTTAGATTGTTTAAGCAAGTATTACTTAAAATTTTGGTAAAATATTAAATAGTCATAATAATCTTCTTGCCAAATTTTTTGGTTTTAGCTCTTAAGAGTTTAAGTCGATTAATCATATAAAATAACTTATGCCTTAGTATGTTGCGTAAGTCCACGATGAACTTATAAATGCTTTTATTATTCGAGGACACAGCAAATTTTTAGAAGAAAACCATCAAGTATTTTGTAGAAATAAATAAGGATTCTTTGTCCCAATCACTCTATAGCTAACTCTCGTTTATGGAATAACTGATGATTTGTAAATGAATGCTGTCCTTTTAAAACTAGATTCAAATACTTCATATATTACATTTAACTAAATTGGAGAGATAGTAGGATTTAATGTTAACTTTTTTAATCATATTTTTGGGTTAGAAACTGCTACATAAGTAATTTTTTATACTAATATTTCTATTTTTAATAAATTTTCTCATAAAGGATTTAGATTAAGAGAAAATAAGCTTAAAGAAACACATAGAATCTTTGAATGTTTTTATTCTTATGCCTCGATTAGCGAAAATAGTACTAAAATTTCTGAAATCGATAAATTTGAATAAATTAGTGGATTAAACTGAGCCTATAATCTAAAAATAATAGCTTTGCAGATAAAAAAAACTGAATTTATTTTTACTTTAAGATTTATTGGAATTTAATCAGAATTCTTTACTTTAAAATATGATAAATATTGATTATTACAAAAATACCAATTAAACTAAAGGTTCTGATAATTAACTTTCATTTTTAGAAAAGTAAATCTAGCTTGTAAGTTCATTTATTAATTTTTATAAAGAAAATATCGAGGTAATTTATTAAATATCATATTTTTTCATTTATTTATAGGTTTTTAAAAATTTTAATATTTTTATAAATTAAATCCCTCTAAAACTATTTCCTCTTAACAATTTTTTCTCATTTAAAAATTTTGTGATAGAGAGATAATATGGTGTTAAAATAAATTATTAATTTTATATTTACAGAAATGGTAAGAAATAAATTGCTACACTATGTTTCAGGGACTTGGTAATTTGGTTGTAAATTCAATTAAAAGAACTAGAAAGCTTACAGACAATGTATTGGAAGAATATGTATTTGAGCTTACATTGTCAGATATACAATTTGGTGGCTATGAAAATTAAAAGAAAAATAGTTAAATTTCTAAGAAGTAAAGGTTTGAAGAATTAAATTTTTTGAGGATGATGTCATAAGACGTTACAACGTAAGGATATTAATAAAAGTCTAATTTTACAACTCCAAAGAATCAAAAAGACCTTTATGTAATTAAAAAAACTAATAGTTTATGTAGCTATGATTATTCTTAAGATTCATAGTTTGATTATTAATTAGAATAAAATAAATAATCAACAATGAACAGCAATAACAAAAATATTCATGATTAAAGTGTCAAATAAAAAAATGATGATTTTTAGAAATAATTTCATAAAGATTTAAAAATACAATATAACCAATCTAAATTTAGTAATTAATATCACATTGAGAATTCAATAATTTCATCAGAGTAAGCTTAGATAACAGATTACTAATATTAGATTGATAATAACAAATGTAAAATTTTAACTTCCTAAAGAATGTATAACAATGAAAATCAAAACTCATTTTATTTAATGAAAGATTAATAGAGTGAATAATAGCTCAATGAGGATGATAAATAAAATGAAGAAGGTATTTAAGACATTTTAATGAAAAATTAAGAAACCTTAGAATAAAAGTTTAACAATCATTAAATTTAACTGTCTTAAAAAGAAAAAAAGTTCAACTCAGTTTAAAAACACTTTATAAATCAGTAATAAACTTTAGCAGTTTCGTCAAAATATAACTAACAGACTTCTAAAATCGAATCAGAAAATAATGAAAATTAAGATGATTTTAATCAGATTTAGGAAACAAACTCAAATTTGGAAACATTTAAAGAAAATCAAATAATAAATAATATAATTTTTTAGTAGCTGACCATAGGTTCATAAATAAGTCGTTTTTTATTGGGTAAATTAATTAATTGATATTGATTTTATATTTTTAATATATTTATTTTATATAAATAGGATGTTCTTCGTTGATATTTACTTCTATTTCTACTGCAATTCTACTCTATTTATTAAGCAAATAAGACTCATTCTCAAATAATTTGAATATTAACTAAACATATTCATCTTTTTATGAATAAATATCTTAATTTAGTTTAACTTAAATATTAAAATATGAAAAATATTTGAATATTTAACCAAAATTATAATATGATTAGATTTATTCTGTTAATGAAACTCAATGTCAATATCTCATTTAAATGTATATGGAGGATCTAAAATTTATAATGTTAAATACGGATGTTAATGAATAAATTGACACTTATATTTATACATTAGGGTAATTTATTTAGATATTTTCTTTTATTCTTTTCAAATTATTTATTTATTTATTTATTTTCTTTTTGATTTAATATTTTTTTCATTTATGGAATAAAAAAATGTTTGAAAAATAAATATAGGGAAGGAAAGGATAACAAATTGTCTTTAGTAAATTTTTTGTATTTAAATGTGAATTCAATGATTGAAGTGAACAACTATCAAGCAACCTAAAAATAAGGAATGAGCTATAGAAACAGTTTATACATTCTGTTATCAAACATATTGGAAAATAATTTAATAAGTTCTAATGCGATTTAGCTGATAACATAAAACTAAAGCTACTTGATGAGCTAAATAAACAATTCATTCATTATTTCAATATTCATAATCCTTGGTTTAATTATTATTTTATTCGTGCTTATTTTACCAGTAATCAGAAAAATTGATAAATTTTAAGAAGTAATATTCCAAGTTGTCTCAAGGATTACTTATGATGAAGTCGATTCTTAAATTAATAAATTCTAGTCATATCAAAATAAAATATTAAACGATGACAAATCATGGATTTCTTATAATTTCTTAAACGCTCATAAACAAAAATTAGATGAGTTAAGACTTTCATATGACAAAACAAACTCCTTCGCCTCTACTCAAAAAGAGAAAAAAAGAAAAAATCAGATTAACAACCAAAAATTAATTTCTAGCTAGCTTGTCTAAACACACCTTAAAACCTTTTTGTATTTTTCGTTATTTTTTCTCTTTTGCTTAAGCTATGTTGCTTTCATATCTATCGCTTTAGGAGTAAGTTATAAGTACTAAAAAGAAATCTAATAAAGATTTGAACTATATTAATATAATGTATAAAACTTATAAAAGTTTTAAACTATGTTGTCACTCAGTGAAAGTGCTCTCAGAATCGATCTAATTTAGTCAATAGATGACTAATTTCCAATTTAAAATTAAATTGATGTCAAAAATAATTTTTTAAGTAGCATTTAAGATCTTAACTAATTCTTAATTCAAATTAATGACTATATTTAGAATACGTCATTCTTAGATAATACAGAACAAAGAGAATTTTAATAGTTATTACAATCTGATCTTTGTTCAGAATATAAATCAGAGCTTCAGTGCTCTGATTAATCTCCCGTCTAAAGAATATTTTAATAAGGATTTCTAGCTGTTTTGATACATTACTGTAAATACTTATAGTAAAGCTTTGATAATATGAATACAAAATAAAGTGATATTAATCAGTAAATTCAATATGCGCTCACAAGCGAATACCCATATATGACTCCACAAGGGTTTAATATTCCTAATACAAATTTTAAAAGCATAGTATCTTCTTGCCTAAACTTTCTCACCAATAAAATAGATGAATAAAAATTATTTTTGCTTATTTATACATTCTTAGGAGGATCTATTATGTATTTTGTTTGGTTTGGTCTTTCAATTAAAATAAAAAATATAATCACTCTACATTTAAATTCAGTCAAATATCTATTGACTTGCATTCCTCTAGAAAAGTAATAAGATGAAAATATTCTATTTATGCTTAAAAAGATCCAAAATATTTGATAAAACAATCAAACTAAAATTCATTTTACTATTTGCTAATAAAATTCAGTTATCCATTTCATTTAGATGTCTATTTTTTATATTTATCTATTTATTTTTTGAATGTATTTTAAATTTTTTTAAATAAACTTTCATAAACTATAAATTTTTTTTCTTAGCAAGCACTAATTAAATAATTAAATAACTACTAACTGCATTTAAAAAAAAAAATTTCTTAATATTTCAATATTAAAAAAAAAGTAATATATGAAATAAAAAATATTATTTTTGATACGTTTTTATGTATTTATTTAATAAATTTTTACCTTAATAAGAAAACTGATTTATTTTCCTAGAGAAACTGAGCATTAAATGAAAAATTAATTAGAAAATACTGTGAATTCAAACATGTTAACATCCCTTAAATAAATATTTTATCATTTTTTGTTATTTTTAAAATAAACACCTAATCATGAATTTATTACATACAATATATTGAAAATAAAAGTATACTTAAAGTATATAAGTTTAAATCTTAATTTATCTATAATAGATGCTGATAGAGCATTTATAATATTTTATTAAATAAATAATAATATTCTGAAAATTCATCTAAATAAATCATAATTAATTTTTATTGCTTGAAATAAACAATTAATTTATAAATGCAAAAATTAAATTAATTAATTGATTTAATTTAGATTATAGAGTTTAACAAAAAATAAATAAATAAATAAAATAAATGAAATCATTCATTAGTAATTTGGATAAGCTGTAACAATACTGCTAATGCTATCAAAAATATGATTTATATGGTCTTTTAAATTTTTTTGCAATTATTATTGCTTATTTTCTATGCTGCTTAACATTCTTTTAACCTCTTCAGTAGAAATATTATTTTTTGACTTTGAATCTATCTTCTAATTTGTATTATAATTCAAATGTTGTAGCACAAAGTTAACAAGCAAATCTTATTTAACAATACCTTCCCCTTCAGAATTATTGTACTATTCATCGAATTCTTTGATATATTAATTGATTGAAGGAAGTCTTTCATCCAACTCTTCAATTACTAAATGAGAATTTTCTTATAGGTCTGCTATAACTTCTTCACTGTATAATTTATTCATATTTTTCTAAACAACAAGCCAAAACTTGTTAAATTCCTATATGCTTTCCTACATTTCAGAATAGAAAAGCTAAACTTATTCAATGTTTTCTTAATGTTGCTTTAAATCTATTTATATCAATCCAGGAATAAAAGTTAAATCTTGTATTTCATCAGGAAATCCATAATCACCTTCATTTTAATACTCCTTTTTATCAACTTCTACTGCACTTTCCTGTTTATTTGATAAAATTTTATGTTAATTTTTTTATAAAGAATAAATTGATAAAGATTCTATTTGATTGATTGATTAATTAATTACTAGCCACTCCCAGAAGATTTCTTAGTTCCTAATTCTCGAGCTCATATTTTCTACTAACTCACTGACTTCTTTCATTTCACGAGCCTTTTATTACAAAATCTCAGGATTAGTCATTAAAATAAAATCTCTTATCCCTATTTAAACCCCCTAAATACTAATTCATAAAATAAAAATTAAAACTTTATTCTAAAATTGTAAATTAATTTTGAATTGTCTTCAAAAAATGAAAATTTAACATAAGAGATAAATAAATCATTTTACTAAAAGATAATCTTTAAAATAATTAATGATATTTGATTAATTAATTAATACCTTAATTTATCTTTAAATTGCTCTAATTTTTTCTCTTTTCTTTTGACTAAGTTTTAAATTTTTCTGAAAGAACTGAACAAAAGATTAAAGCTTTCAATAAGTTTTTCATCTTCTTGCTAGTTTTCTTATTATAATACTCTCTTTTTGGCTACATGGCTAAATCCATTTTGCATAACTTCTTCTTTCTTACAGAAAATATTAATTTTGAGAATGCATTCATTTTAAATAAAATTACAATCTCTTCAGCCTACTTCACAGCCTGGTTAATGAAAACATCTTCATATTTTTCAAAAAAATTAGAAACTCCCATCAGCCATCCAATAAGCATAAGCATGTCTCTTTTCATTTTAAATTAAATAAATTTATTACTAAAAGATTATAATTTAAGAAAGTATTAAAGTCAAAAAACAGCAATTTTTAAAGAATACAAGCAATTCTACTTCCAATTTTTTCATTTATATTTTATTTTTTGCTGGACTTATTTCTAATTTAAAAGAAAAATCTAATACCTCATGTTGTTGAAATTAAATCCTATTTTTTGCTAATGAACTATCAAAAGCTCACACTCCATCTGAACTAAATATTAGATAATAAATGTTTTAAGTTTATCATAGCTTATGACTTAAGTTTAATATTCATTCAAATTTATTTTAAAATCTGTTGAAATAAGCAGTATTAGGTCGAATATTAGTTTCTAAAATCTCTCCATCTTAATTATTAAATGAAAATTTAAGATTATTAACATAAAATTAAATTACTCTCTCTTGACTCTAAGGGTATTGAGAGTGCTTAGCCTATCTAAAGTCTTCTGCTTGCATATAATTGATTCCAAGCTATCTAAAGACATCTTAAACATACTAGATAGTTTCTTTAACATTTTACATTTCTTTCTACTTTCAACTAAAAATATAAAATTCTAAAAAAATCAAAAAAGATTTGAAAATCATCTACTTATCAAATTTTTATGTAATTAATTTGAAATTTTAATATCAAAAGTATAAAATAAGCAATTAAAACTCATTAAAATCTAATAATTTTATGTAAAAAAAGTATCATATATTAATTTCTTCTACTATATAAAACTTTATGGTATTAAAAATAGATTTTATTTTGATTTTTAACTAATTTTAATAAAAAGTAAAAATATTTAATTAAGAACATTTTACTAAAGGCATAAATCAAAATAAAAAGCTAACTAATTATTCATATTTAAAAAAGTAAAGCTAAAAACCAATAAATTTGAAATAAAAACACAACATTCAATTTAGATTTACAAAAAGATATAAATAATAAAACAATCTTCATTTTCAATAAAATTAATTAGCTAGCAATTGTGAAGATGGATGGATGCTTATAAAAAATGAAATTAAAATAAAACCCTTTTCTTTACTTTAAAAAATTTATTTTGCTATTAAAATATCTTCTACTTTATGAATTAGTAAGAAGTCTTTCAATGATAAGACCTTAGTTATCAATTAACATAAAAACCAATTAAAACAATTTAAAACTTTAATTTTTTAAGGAACAAAAAATATTTTTTGTATTAATTTAGAATTTTTATAAAAATAATAAAAAAACAAGAATTTTATTTTCTAAAAAAAAGGTTAATAATTCTCTCATTTATTTCATTTATTGAACTAATTTAAGAAATTTCAGTTTCTTCTCTTATTTAATAAAGAGTCAATGGACAATTTTGTTTTTGCAAATAATAAAATAGATTAAATAATAATAATACAGACATTTTATTCTATTGTTAATTTTAAGAATAAACTTAATAATCTCTATCTAATTAATACTCGCTTTGTAAATTATGGATATTGATAAAGATTTTTTAAACAAAAAAAATTTGAGTGCATTTCTTTGTTTCTTTGTTTGATTGATTGAAAGAAGGTAAGATATGATAAAATTTTAATATAAATATTAGTGTTTTTAATTGAATTTATTTCTTTATAAATATTATTTGAACATTAAATTGAAATAGTTAATAAAAAAATAATTCAGATTTTTAACAAAAATAGATAGCATAGATAATTAATTAGTTATATAGTTAAGGCAAGAATTGTAAAATGAAAAGAAGGGATTATTCTTTATTAAATTACACACTTTTTATAGTTTTGGTTGTTATAATAGCTTTTTTTATTAACACTTACAATCATGATCATGCAGTGAATTTAGCAGCGCTTCAAACTAATTATGATTAGGTTGTCAGTAAATTAAATATGACATTAAACTTCAATTTACCATAATAGATTAAAACTGAAAAGAGAGAAAAATTGATAAAGATACTCGATGATTTGTTTAAAAAATGTAATTTATTTAATAAACCTTTGCTACAATATAAAACTTTCTAAGTTTTTTAAGTATGACTTTAATTTTTTTAAAATAATAGAATTCTACTTGGAATTTGACTTAAAATAGACCTCAGATGACTAATTTATGTAAATGTTTATTTTAGCAATTTAAATAAATAAAAGGAAGAATTATAATGCAAAATATAACAATGCTTATATTAAAATTTTTATATAAAATACAAATAGAGTAGATTTAATCTGTGAAGAAAGAAGCAAAAATATTGAAATAATTTCTACTTAGAAAATTTAATATTATGCTGGAAATACGTGTGAAAATTTTGGTTAGCAATATCTTAAGGAATTAAGAAGAGTTATATTAACTTTTTCTTCTAATTTGATAGAATACTCATATGAAAAAAGGTTTTATGACAAAGACATCTTTTTCAATTTATACTTTTATCTAACATTTGAATAGACACCTGAGACACCTAAACAACTGCAAGATTTAAAAAAATCAATCACAGAACAAATTCTTAAATTTTCATCTTCTCTTTCTATTTCAAAAGAGCAAATCAGAGTAAATTTAAAAGTAAGTATTTAAATATTTAAAAACTAGCAAATGAATGAAATAATTAACTCAAATGTCTTTCTTTACATTTATTTTAAAAGATTGTTGAATAGGATTTAATTTCTTTTTATAAATAAATTAAGACAATCCATCCTGATGAATATGTTAATTTGAATGTCAATTAAGTTTTATCATAAGAAAAAACTTCTATTCAATTCTCTGCCATAAAAAATTTGCACAATTAATTGAAAGGAAACTATCATAATAGAATCAATTTCAGAGACTATTACAACAGACAAGTAGTTATCTTTTTAAATTAAGCAGAAGCAAAGCTTACAGATTAAGATGAAAGCTTAGGATATTTTTTGAATTATGAAGATGATTTATTTATCAGTGGAACTATTGATAATTTAAAGAGCATTTAAACAATCTTCAACAGAGCTCTTATTGAGTTATATGAGTTAAACGATATTTATCTCTTAAGCGATTCACTTTAAAATACTGAATTAGACCTAAATCTCAAATTGATTTCAACATATTTTGTTAAAAGAGAATACTTCTGCACATATTAAGCATTATACAACTAAATAAGCACTATCATCAAACTTAGAAATACAAGATACATTATATTTGACGAATAAAGCACCAAATTAGTAAGTTTAACTTCTATTTTCATAAATATTTTGTTGTGAGAAATCTTTAAAATTAATTATTTTTGCATTATTTAACAGATTGATAAGTGGCTAGTCTAAACTGAATAACTCTTAAAGCTCAATTACATTCAAAATAAAAGCTTCTAATAAATAGTTTACTAGTAAGATGATTTAAATAAGATTGATGAAATAGGCTAATTAAATTACTTCTCAAACGAATATTAGTAAAAAATTTATTTTAAATAAAGCTAAATTTATTTATTTTTAAAATATTTGATAAAAAAAGCATGGGTGTTTACCTTCCAATTATTATCCCTGTTGCCTATCCTTACATCTTAGGAGTTTTGGGAGTAAATTTATTGATTTAAAAATTATTTTAATCTTTTTTTACTCAAAATAGAAATACAAAGAAATAAAGCAAGCTAAGAAAGCTAATTGATTAATAAACAGCATAATAAACAAGTTTAATTTAAATTAATCATAATCAGTTAATAATCTTAATAAAAATCAAAAGAAATATAGCTTGTTTGCATCATGTTTATATAGCAAAACGCTTAATTAAAAACTAGGTATATGGAAAGCTCTAGCTATTAATTAGGCGTTCAGTTTTAATTAATTTAAAAATAGATATTTTATTTGTAAAATTTAAATTTTTTGATAAAAAATGTATGCAATTTAAATAAAATAATAAAGTAATATAATATAATATATTCTGCAATTATAGTATGGATGAAATGAAAATATTTTTAATTTTTTGTAATCCTGAGTATAGGATACCATTAGCAATAAATATTTATATTTTCTATTTTAAATTTATTTTATTTATTTATTTTTATCTACTATATAATAAAAATCAGTATTTAATTAACTCATATTTAATTATCTTAACTGGACATTCCATTTAATTAATTTTCTATTTATTTTTAATGGAAAATTTTATTTAATTTTTTTGATGTTTAATTTATTTAAAGAATATTGTAAAATCAAAAAGAAAAAACAAGAAATAATTTATTTAGTTATTTAGTATATTTTGAGTAGTAAAAATATACAAATAAATATAAATAATTTGATATCTAATTACAATTAAGTTAAAAATATCAAGCAATAAATCTTAAGGTTGAATGAGAGAATGTATATAGTACTTTTTTTATCTCTTTTTATTAATATATTTATATGCATGAAGAAATCAGTTAACTCTGAAGTAGGGATGGGTAGGTTACCTTATAATTTTAGAATTGTTAATAATTCTATCATTAAAATAACCCCAAGAAGGTTTTTAATAGGTACTTCCTGATAAAGTAGATTAGTGAGAAATAACACTAACTGGAGCATATCTAGCCAAAATTGGTTGGGTTCTCACAAGAGATGTACTATATGATACTGATTATTGCAAGGGCACACTGACTTATTTTATTTGTTAACTTTTAGACTAGGCAGCAAAGAATTATTAAGCTCCTTTAGGGGAAACTGCTCCACTGACGTTCTTAGGAGTGACTCCTTTTGAAGCAGTAACTGCAGCTGCCTTAGGAGAAACTACATTAGAAACAGTTGAGTTTAATCTAACTTATTATTATTGTTATTAAAGTACAACTGGGCTTCTAACAACTTAGCTTTAGAGAAGGACTGTGCTCTATCCTAAAGTATTAACTGGTTTAAAGTTGATAGTTGATGTGAGCAAGCGAGATTAAAGAGGAACAACAGGAGATGTATAAGTTCTTTTAGATGAGCTCAATAATCTTGAATAAACAGGGTAACCTGCTTAAATATTATGTCCCTATGACTATGTTTATTCCTCATCTTCTTCCTAGTTAGCTGGTACTAAATATTCGCATTTTCTATAGTCAGTCACTTTTTTTTCTACTGGAATTTTTACTTTGATTTTCTTCTCTACAGGTTAGTATTCGATTATTGTCTTTTCTACTTCTTCGTACTAAATAACTGTTTTTTCGTATGGCTCATACTTTACTTAGGTCTCTAATTTCTTACTTTTTGCAAGAGCTCCAGGTGATAACAAAGCACCACGTTACAAAAAGGCTTGGCTGCTAGATAGCTTGGCAGGGCTTATAATTGTTCTGCTCTATTAGTTGTAAAAATAGTTAATTTTATCTACTTAAAATAAATCGTAAAATTCACAAAGTTCATTTAAACTTTACTAGCTTAACGTATAAACAATGTCTAAAATTATTTTTTTCAATTTTAGAGCTAAGAAATCGAATTTTGGTTTAAAATATTTATTCTTTATTTAAAATATAGCTTTGTGATGAGCATTTTTGTTTGTATGGAAATCATTTAAAATAGAAAATGTAATCTAGTAAGTTTGGAATTATTTATTTATATTTCTTTAAATGTCACAAAATTAAAACTTAAAAAGAAAAGTCTTTAAATACCTAGAGAACAAGAGGAGCAGCAGAAGGAACACCTGCGAATGTAATTTGGTGTGCTTGAGAATTATATAATCCAGCATTACCTGGAGCATTAGCGAGAGGATTAGGAGGAGGATTTTGATATTAAGAATCAAGCAGAGGATTTCCAACGTAAAGGTTGTTAGGCTATAAATCTTCAGATGGAATTTATTAGTTAATAAGCTATTCAACAGGTTCGGTTAAATGATTGTGCTATCCAAGAGGGATATTCAATTATCTTTGCTATTCATGAATATTATTATGGCCAGGTGTGTTATCTGTGTGTCCATTTAATTCGGCTAGTTCTTATTAATGAGAATCATTTCTGTAATTGATCACATGGTCATTTTACTATCCTATATTCTCGTAATCGTTTTTAGGCGATGAGTGGTGGGAGTTTTAAGCAGACATTTTATAAAAACTATTTTTAAAGCTTTTTTAAGATTTAAGATCTTTGATTGGTACTAATTAATATTTTTATTATTTTTTATGTACAGAACAAATTAATTTATTCAGTTTTTATTTTCAGTGAAATTCAATATTTAATAAGCATGAAAGATAACTAAGCTAATAAATATAAATAAATTTTATTTTGATGAAACTTGCCAAACTCATTAGTAAATTTTTGCATTTATTTAAATATCTTTGCATGCATACTTCATTCATTAATTCACACATCATTCATTCATTCATACATACATTCTGTCATACATATATACATACTTTTGCACTGTCAAAGTAATCCTGTGAATAGATAATTTATTTTTATTTTACAAATATTTTTAAATAGCAAACTAAATACAATTAACTTAATTAAATAGGAAACGGAATATGCTGTTGAGTCATTAAAAATAAACGCCTCAAATTCATTACGTAAAATAACTAAATAAATATCTATATTTTAAAAATAGCTAAGTAGTCACAATAAATTTATATAGTCATATTAATGCTGTAATTAAATTAATCCTAAAAAATAAGTTTATTAATTGATTTAAATTAATTTTATACTTTAAATTAAATAATATTTCCTAAAAATTTTTATATATATTATATAATTAATTGCAAACTCAACCAAAAAATATTAATCAGAAAAAATTTAATAATAGTTTTGAAAATTATTAAAAATTTTAAAATATAGATGAATTTAATTTTTATTATTTTAAATTATAATAAAGTATATTTTGGTTTTATTTACAATTAATTTCTCAAATAATATGTTACTGTTATAAAATATATTTTTTTTATTGCAAACATTTTTATATAGTTTGTTATTCAATTTAAAAGCAATAAAAATAAAATTAAGTAAATAAAGAGAGGTTAAAAAATGATTTATTACCTTTTGTATTTAAAAATAAGCTTAAAAATTAGACAATTTCATTATTCATCTAAAATTTAAATTTATTTTATCAAAATGCTAGATTAAAATAAATAAAATAATCTTCTAAAAATATGAAGTCGATCTTTTCAGAAAAGCTTTATAGTTTGATTTTAATGTAAGTTGGAAGGGGTAAAGTATTTCAGGAATACTGAATATTTAGAGAAATGAATAATGAAAAAAAATATTTAATAGTTTCCAGTCAAATTAAAAAAGTTGTGGAGAAATAAAAGAAATTTATGAATATGAATAAATTTGTGATAAAATAAGTCGATACTGACTTTGAAGTAATTATCACAAAATCTTTGGAAAAGAAAAATTGAATGAAAAAAGTGTAAAAGCAAAAACATCTAACACACATAAATAGATAAAATTTGTAAAAAATCACTAAAATAAATTATTCTTGCTCATTTATTTATCTAAATTAAAAAAAGCTAGCTAGTTTGCTTATTTTTTCTAGCTTGCTTTTCTCTTTTTCAATTATTAAATTTAAAGAATACTAGCAATTGATTAATTTTAGTAAATAAAGATCACTGACAAAGTATCAATATTATTTAGCATAAATATAAATGAGTACTCCAATTGCTACAACTCTTTCAGAGCTAATGCTTCGAAAGATTAAATATTAGAGTAGCTTTGAAAGTCAAAGGCGTTTTAATTAGAATTAGTAAAGCAAATATAGCTAGAAGAACTCATCATCTTTTCTCCTATCTAAACAAAATAGCCATTAAAGTTTTAAGCTAGCTCATTAAAGATCTTAATCGCATTAAAATATAACAAAGCCATAAATTGTTTTGAAGAATGAAGAAGGATAAGTTTTTAAATAAAATTTATAGTAACAGGATAAATATGGTTTAAATGCTTCTTAAAACCAGGGAAATAAATCGATTTTCAAATAATTAAGACATCATCAAAGAAATCTTACTTAAGATGGTAGCCACCGTGTTATTTAAGATGCTATGATTGATAATACTGTGTAAAAAGAATTAGCATTAAAGCATGTTAATCATACAAATTAGAACACATCTTCTACAGCAAGTACAATCAATTAGCTCAGCTCATCTAAAAATATTCAATAAAACAATTATTTGGGCATTTTATCTCAGAGCGACAACCACAGCTTTGCTAAAAGTATATCAAAATCTCATCAAAGTAGTAATAGGGATTCAAGATAATTAAATTAAGACTTATAATAAGATTTATAGAGTTTTTAAATAAGAAACAATTAAAATGAATACTAAAATGGTTAAAATTAGAAAATTTATTAAGACTTAAAAAATATAACCAACTCAAATAACTTACATTTAAACGATCAATCCATCACATAATATAATAGAAAATCTCGTAAGGAATACAGACAATTGAGTAGCATCACAAACAACACAAATAAATCTACTGAAAATATCTTTGAAGACAGCGCTTCTCCATTTAAAAGCTAAAAGAATAATCATAAAATGAAATATATCAACATTTCTTAAAGTTACCTCTAGCAGTAGTTTCAAAATGCAAAATTAAATCACCACAAATATAACGATACTTCTGCTTTTTAAAATTCAACTAACACCTCAACTTTTCCATTAAGTAATAGTAATAAGTAGAATTAGCGATCCTAAGCATCATTAACATCCACAAATTTCCTTCGTTTAAATAAATAAGAGTCTGAAAATCATAGAATCTAATAAATAAAAGAAAAATTGAATCAAATTAATATCCCTCAATTTCTTATTCCTCAGCTGCATTGCAATTAGAATAGCAATAATTAATTACCAAAATCATCTGCTAGCCTAAGATCTAATATTAAAACAAATATTAATTCAATTAATGTGTTATAAGGAACAAGCTAAATAAACTAATTGCAATAGTAACAAGAAGACTTAAACTTTGAATAGAAAGAGTAATAGCTTGAAATGCTTTTGCTAACAAATAAAAAATTGAATAATATTGAGCGCTTGTAACTAAAGAAGCAAATTTAAGATATATAAGTGCAAAAAGCGTAGCAATTCGAAGATTTTATTTTTGATAAAATAAAAAAGGATTTACAAACATATAAGGTTACTCATCACTATACTTGTGAGAATTTAATTGAAACACTCTTAGGAACTATTAAGGATTTATCAAATTTTAAAAATCCTAAAATTGTGATAAAATCAATAGAAAGAAACTTCGGTCACCTTTAGCACCCACTTGAATTTTTGTAATTTGATCAAGTTACTAACGTAAAAGAAATAGAAACATAAATTTATTTAAAAAAACTTGCTCTTGCTTGTTGTAAAGTAGAAGGAGAAGAAATATAATTCAAACCCAATAAGAAGTTACTAGATGGATTATTAGAAATAACTACAAAACTTGAAGAAAAGCTGCTCATATATTAAAAAGACCATTTTTCTGAAATAACGAATTAGCTTCTGTCTAAAAACGATTAAATAAGAAGTAATTAATATTTTTATTTAATTTAAACATTTCACTCAAATTCTTTATTCATACTTTAATAATTTTTATAGAAACAGAATAGGAATTATAAGAAAAATATATTCAATTAGATAGAAAGGCTTAATACAAAGAACTAAGAGAAACTATTGATTCTAAATATAACTTAAATATGCGCCATATGGAAAGCAAATTTATCAATTCATACAAAAAAAATAAAGACAAGCTTGGAAACTTCTCCAATCTCTGTAAAAGGAGTATAAATATTTTTAAAAATATCGATGGAGTTGTTTTTAAACTCAAAGAAGTTATCAATTAGATTAATGTCAATTGATTAAAAAAATAAATGGTATCAAATAAAATTTTAACTATCCAACATATATTAAATTTAACTTGTAAATAAACTCTCATATAAGCAAATAAAAATTAATATTGTAAATATCAGCTTAAGTTTTTCAATAATTAAAATACTTTAATTTCCTAATAAAACTAATCATTTCTTCTTTAAATTATTTCCTAAAAAATAATATATAAACATGTTTATATAATAAAATTTATATACTGTAACAATAATTCAGTTGTGATTGATAGATGATTTAATTTAAAATTTTTTTTTTATTGTAACACCAAAATTTACCATAATAAAAATGAATTAAAAAAAATAGCTTGAACTAACATTTTCAAATATATTTTTATTTGATTTTAAACACATTATTACCCAAACCACTATATTTTAATTAGCGTTTGTTTATACTAAATTCATGAATGAATTCGAATTATTAATGTGAAATTATATAAAAATATACAATCGAAAAACAAGTATAAATTTATCAACTCCGGTTATTCTATCCAAACAACAGCTAAAAGTCATTAAGAATTAATTTACTTTTTAAAGTTAGAAAATCAACCACTCTCTCGTAAAGGAAATCAAATAGACACTTATATATTTTCTCTTAGATCAATTTCAATAAAATATTTAAAATATTTATTTTTCAGACTATTATCTCTATTTTTAAAAATTTTTTTATCATACTTTATAGCTATTTTTGAGGTTAATATATAATCTAAAAGAATAATACTCAAATGATAGCTAATTAATGATGATTTATATAATTCTGAAGGTATCGTGTTTGATAATAGTCAAATGATTGGGTATTGCTGCTATTATTATTATTATTATTTTTATTTATTTTTAAAACTCTTTGTAATGCTCACTTGTTTGTAATTGATTTATTTTTTATTATAAAGTTTATTTAAATGTCTTCACTATTACAAAATCCTCATCTACTCAACTTTTAATGAAATGAAATAAAAATTTAAGATTCATTCAATATTAATCTGGTAAATTAATCTCTAAAGTTAATAATTTTTTAATTAGAAAAAGAATAAATAAATAAATAATTAATTAAAAATAAAAGAAAACAAAATTACTATTCATATTAAATAAGATAATGAAGATAAATATCTTATTATAGGGTATCAAATGCATAGATATCTATGGAGTCCCTGTTGGAGTCAACTTTGAAAGTAAGGGAGTATATAAAACCTCTTTTGGCGCGTTGATCACTGCAGTCATTTTCATTCTTATTATGCTTTAAACCTACTACTCTGGATTAGATTTAATAGCTAGAAATAATCCCAAAGTCATCACCAGTGAATAATATGTTCGTAACCCTGAGAGAATGGTATTCGATAATGTACAGCAGGTAGTTATGATGGGTTTCAATACTCCTTCTAGCTAGTACATAAGTAATTCATCTATAATTTAAGTATCTGCTATTTTATCAACTGTAAATAAGGTTTTAAACTAAACTACTATGTAATATGATACTGTGACTACAAATACTCCCCTAAGGATAAGGCCCTGCACTATTAATGACGCTAAAGTTGAAAAGGTCTAAGATTATTTTAGAAAACTTCCTCTAAATAGCTTGTTTTGCTTTGATGATAACTAGCAAATCTATGTAGAGGGTGATTACTCTGGAGACTTCTACTCCAGAGTTGATGTCTCTTTTAATTAATGTGTTAATTCTACTAAACCAGGGTCAGTAATTTGTTAACCTTAAAAATAAATTGATAAAGTTTTATCCAATGTTAACTTTTTAGTGTATATGATGGATAAAATATTAGATCCAAACAACTACGAACAGCCTTTTGACTATTAAGGATTCAACATATAAGCATAAGCTACAAATTAGCAATCATAGACTTATACTGCTTATTTTGAAAATTATTACATAGAATCAGATATTGGACTAATACAATAAGATATTAAGAGAACAAAAGATTTTAAATTTGTTGCAACAGATACAACAATCGTTTATAATAATCCTAGTCTTGTGATAAAATTTTCAATGAGACCTTACAAAAATAAGCAATAACTAATTTAAAGATGGTACATGAAGCTTACTGATTTAATTGTTTAAGTAGGCGGTGTGCTTAAGTTTCTTACTGTTGCTGGATTTTTACTTTGCCACCCTTACGCAAAACTAAATTTAACTAAAGATATTATAAATAGCGTTTTTGACTTTGAAGAAAATAAAAAAGATAGCTGCAAATCAAAGTAAAATTTTGATTCAGAATAGAAAGAAATAAAACATTAGGAGAGTTTTTAATTAGATTCAATCATAATGAAAAATCTATCCAAAGAGCAGATTCAAAATATTCAAAATTCTTTGAGTTTATCATAAAAAACAATTTCACCATCTATAAGAAGCTAAAAAAGGTATGATTAAATTGAACAAAAGTTAAAACTAAGATTGATGAAAAACTCAAATAAAATGGATTCTTCTTAACACGATCAAAATAAATAGTTGATTAAAATAGAAACTGGTGATCAGTCTTAAAGAGCTTAATTGCTAGAGTAGTCAAAAACTTAAATTTCAAAATAATAATAATAATAAGAACTTTATAATTCTATTTAGTTAACATCGCCGCGTTAAAATTAAATAAATTAAAAAATTAAAGATGAAATAGAAAATTAAAATGATAACAAGAGCGAATAAGATGAGAGTCTATTTAAAACTGCAATAATAAATAGAATTTAGAAATTAATAAACCCCTTGAAAAAAAAAGTTTAATTGAAAATGAATGATTATTTGAGTAATTTTTCAAATTGTTCTTAAATAAAAACAAATTTGATGGAAGAAGGTATCAAAAAAATCAATCATCGTTCCCCAAACATATTTAACTAGGCATAATCATCATTGATTAAATCTTCATAAAATGATTTTCTTTAGTCTAAATAAAATCAAGAGACAAATTCTTTTGCTGATAAATTTGAAATTTAAGAAGAAGGAATAAAATCTGACTATTACTTCAACTTTTACAAAAAATCTAAGAAAAATTCATTAAATTTATCTTGAATTATTTATGGATTTTCTTTATATGTTAATTTATTATTTATTAATTTTACACTTTTTTTTTCTATAATAGAGTGAATTTTCAACAAATCAATGATATGCATGCCTAATTGTGAAATCTTAGAAAATTCTAATGTGCTCTTACAATCACCCACTTTAAAGGAAGTATTCATAGAGTGATGATCACAAATCTTAAAATAATTTCTTTTTAAAAAATTAGAAATTTTAAAAGAAGTGCAGAAAAAGTTGATTTTAATTAAATTCACCGTTTAAAATTTAACTTGAAATACTTATTTATGATTGCTTCTAATATATTTTTGTTATAATTTATAGCTAATATGTTTTATGTAATTTGAATACAGCTGTTTGATTAGATATTTTGAATTTCTTTGTTTATTTTGCTTATTAATATTAATCCCATATTCACACTGTAATTTTCCCTTTTAATAAAGTTCAAAATTTTTTAACATAATTTAAATTAATTAATACCTCATAATAATGTCAAGATTATCTGCTAATTAACAAATTATTTAATTTCATCAAAAACCATTAATCTCTTTCTCTCTTTCAAAAATAATCTTTATATTTTTACAAGAAAAATAATTAATTTTTCTCCTCACATCTAGGAAACTGTCATTATTTTTTAAATAAAATATAATACCTCACCTTTCATTATAATCTATTACTATTATTATTAAAGTTACTATAATCAATTTTATTCTAATTATTTTTTAAAATCTTATGCATTTATTTAAATATATTCCCTAAAATAAGTAGTGCATTATTAGATTCTTATACTGAAGATTTTATTAAAAAGGATAATTTAAGGCTCAAGATTCTCAATAGATAGCTATATAAGAGGAAAAGTGTGGTCTGGAGTAAAATTTTTTAGACTAGCTTTTTTAAAAAAATAGAGGACCCATAAACATCCAAACACGTCTGCTCTTGGAAATAGTTTTAATATTGAGTTATATAAGGCCTTTTCTATTTTATAAAATAATAAAAAATTGATTACTTAATTATTTTAACGACAACCACAGCTTTGCTAAAAGTACATCAAAATCTCATCAAAGTAGTAATAGGAATTCAAGATAATTAAATTAAGACTTATAATAAGATTTATATAGTTTTTAAATAAAAAACAATTAAAATGAATACTAAAATGGTTAAAATTAGAAAATTTATTAAGACTTAAAAAATATAACCAACTCAAATAACTTACCTTTAAACGATCAATCCATCACATAATATAATAGAAAATCTCGTAAGGAATACAGACAATTGAGTAGCATTACAAACAACACAAATAAATCTACTGGAAATATCTTTGAAGACAGCGCTTCTCCATTTAAAAGCTAAAAGAATAATCATAAAATGAAATATATTAACATTTCTTAAAGTTACCTCTAGCAAGGATTTCAAAATGCAAAATTAAATCACCACAAATTTACTGATTCTTCTGCTTTTTAAAATTCAACTAACACCTCAACTTTACCATTAAGTAATAGTAATAAGTAGAATTAGAGATACTAAGCATCATTAAAATCTACAAATTTCCTTCGTTTAAATAAATAAGAGTCTGAAAATCATAGAATCTAATAAATAAAAGAAAAATTAAATCAAATTAATATCCCTCAATTTCTTAATCCTCAGCTGCATAGCAATTAGAATAGCAATAATTAATTACCAAAATCATCTGCTAGCCTAAGATCTAATATTAAAACAAATATTAATTCCATTAATGTGTTATAAGGAATAAGCTAAATAAGCTAATTGCAATAGTAACAAGAAGACTTAAACTTTGAATAGAAAGAGTAATAGCTTGAAATGCTTTTGCTAATAAATAAAAAATTGAATAATATTGAGCGCTAGTAGCTAAAAAAGCAAATATAAGATATATAAGTGCAAAAAGCGTAGCAATTCGAAGATTTTATTTTTGATAAAATAAAAAAGGATTTACAAACATATTAGGTTACAAATCACTATACTTGTGAGAATTTAATCGAAACATTCTTAGGAACTATTAAAGATTTATCAAAATTTAAAAATCCTAAAATTGTGATCAAATCAATAGGAAGAAACTTCGGTCACCTTTAGCACCCACTTGAATTTTTGTAATTTGATCAAGTTACTAACGTAAAAGAAATAGAAACATAAATTTATTTAAAAAAACTTGCTCTTGCTTGTTGTAAAGTAGAAGGAGAAGAAATACAATTCAAAACCAATAAGAAGTTACTAGATGGATTATTAGAAATAACTACAAAACTTGAAGAAAAGCTGCTCATATATTAAAAAGACCATTTTTCTGAAATAACGAATTAACTTATGTCTAAAAACGATTAAATAAGAAGTAATTAATATTTTTATTTAATTTAAACATTTCACTCTATTTCTTTATTCATACTTTAATAATTTTGATAGAAACAGAATAGGAATTATAAGAAAAATATATTCAATTAGATAGAAAGGCTTAATACAAAGAACTAAGAGAAACTATTGATTCTAAATATAACTTAAATATGCGCCATATAGAACCAAATCTATTAATTCATATAAATAAAGACAAGCTTGGAAACTTCTCCAATCTCTGTAAAAGGAGTATAAATATTTTTAAAAATATCGATGGAGTTGTTTTTAAACTCAAAGAAGTTATCAATTAGATTAATGTAAATTGATTAAAAAAATAAATGGTATCAAATAAAATTTTAACTATCCAACATAAATTAAATTTAAATTGTAAATAAACTCTCATATAAGCAAATAAAAATTAATATTTTAAATATCAGCTTAAGTTTTTCAATGATTAAAATACTTTAATTTCCTAATAAAACTAATCATTTCTTCTTTAAATTATTTCCTAAAAAGCAATATATCAACATGTTTCTATAATAAAATTTATATACTGTAACAATAATTGAGCTGTGATTGATAGATTATTTAATTAAAAATTTTTTTATTGTAATTGAGGGTCATTTTAGATTTCACTATATTCCCCTTTTTCTTAATATAGTAGGAAGAGGCGAGGCGGTATACTTTATTTATAAATAGAGCTTTTTGTAATACTTAGTATATATTTTGATTTATATTTTATAATAACATTTATTTAAATCTTTTGTATTTCATTTATTTATTATATTTTTAGCTATGTTAGATAATATTAAGATTAATTACATTTTTAGCTTTACTTTCAAAACTTAAAAATTAATCCTTTTTAGATAAATAAGTAATTATTTAAATAAATAAAAATAATAGTTAACAAAATTAACAAACATTCATTTAAAGTAATATAATGAAATTATCAGTCTTGTTATAGGCTATCAAAGGTATAGATATCTATGGAGTTCCTATTGGAGTCAACTTTAAAAGTAATGAAGTACATAAAACTTCTTTTGGTGCGTTGATCTCTGCAGCCATATTCATTCTTATTGCGCTTTAAGTTTACTATGCTGGATAGGATTTAATCTCTAGAAATAATCCCTAAGTCATCACCAGTGAATAATATGTCCGTAACCCTGAGAGAATGGTTTTCGATAACGTGCAGCAGGTAGTTATGATGGGTTTAAGTACTTACACTAGCTAGTACATTAGTAACTCATCTATAATTTAAGTATCTGCTATTTAATCAACAGTAAATAAGGTTTTGAACTAAACCACTTAATAATATGATACTGTGACTACAACAAATCCCCTAAGAATAAGACCCTGCACTATTAATGACGTTAAAGTTGAAAAGCTTTAAGATTTCTTTAGCAAACTTCCTCTCAGTAGCTTGTTTTGTTTTGATGATAACTAGTAAATCTATGTAGAGGGTGATTATTCTGGAGATTTCTACTCGAGAGTAGATGTTTCTTTTAATTAATGTGTTAATTCTACTAAACCAGGGTCAGTAATTTGCTAACCTCAAAAATAAATTGATAAAGTTTTATCTAATGCTAGCTTTTTAGTGTATATGATGGATAAAATATTAGATCCAAACAACTACGAACAACCTTTTGACTATTAAGGATTCAACATATAAGCATAAGCTACAAATCAGCAATCATAAGCTTATACTGCTTACTTTGAGAATTACTATATAGAATCAGATGTAGGACTAATACAGAAAGATATTAACAAAATAAAAGACTTTAAATTTGTTGGAACAGAGACAACGATCATATACAATAATCCTAGCCTTGTTATAAAATTTTCAATGAGACCTTACAAGAATAAGCAATAACTAATGCAAAGAAGATACACAAAGCTTACTGATTTACTAGCATAAGTAGGTGGTGCACTTAAATTTCTTACTGTAGTTGGATTTATAATTTGCCACCCTTACGCAAAACTAAATTTAACTAAAGATATTATAAATAGCGTTTTTGACTTTGAAGAAAACAACAAAGATAGCAGTTAACAAAAATAATAGGATGTTTCAGGATAGAGAGACAAAAAAAGTGGTGAATAGGATAGCTTTTAATTAAATTCAATCCTTACGAAAAATTTAACCAATAAAGAGCAGATTTAAAATGATCAAAATTGTTTGAGCTTATCATAAAAAGCTTAAGATCTTTCACCATCAATAACAAGCTAAGCAAAGTATAACTAACTGGAGTAAAAACTAAGATCTAAGAAAAATACACATAAAATGAATTTCTCTTAACTTAACCATAATAATCAGTTTATTAAAAAAGAAATCTAATTTGATAATCAGTCATAGTAAGCTTAGTTTTTAGAGTAGCCAGTAATTCAAATTTCAAAATCACAGTAAATTTAGAATTCTATTTAATAGCAAATCTCTCCTGAAATTTATACAGAAAGTAAAGATAATAAAGAAAAGTAAAATGATAGCAAGAGCGAATAAGAAGAGAATCTATTTAAAACTAAAATAATAAATAGAATTTAGAAATTAATAAACCCCTTGAAACAAACTGTTTAATTGAAAATGAAAGATTATTTGAGTCATTTTTCAAATTGCTCTTAATAAAAAACAAATTTGATGGAAGAAGGTATCAACAAAATCAATCATCGTTTAGATATTCAAAATATCCTTCATTAACTCTAAGAAATTGAAAAACTCAAAAAAATTGTACTTGATGAAGATTAAATAAAGCTGTTTGAAATTTTACCAAGACCTGTTTTGAAAAATAGTTAAAGTAAAATATAAACAGACACTAAAAACTAGTTTTTTGAAACCAAAAATCAATCAGAAGAAGAAAAAGTAAATGATGCTTATAATAGTTTATGTAATATCTTAAATAAGCAGAAAAAATCCCAAAGAGATCTACAGCTAATTTAGCTTTTGGACAATAATATGTATTTGTCTCTTAAAAAATTTGGCCTATTATCTAATAGTTGTGAAATTTCTCTAGAAAACAAATATTCTCATTCTGATGAAGTTGTAGAATACCGTAAAGTATTAAACTTATCGCCAAGCTCGATTAAATCTTCATAAAAGGATTTGCTTTAATTTGAATAAAACTAAGATACAAATTCTTTAGATGATAAATTTGAAATTTAAGAAGAAGAAGCAGGAATAAAATCTGACTTTTACTTCAACTTTTAAAAAAAGTCTAAGAAAAATTCATTAAATTTATCATGAGTAATTTATGGATTATATATATATATAAATATATGTGGGTTTGCTATTAAATTAATTTGATACTTTTTTTCATTCTTCTTTATTAAAATATCAAAAATTAAAATATTCCCAAAAAAGTAAGCTTGTAAATTATCTTAATTAAATTAAAACATTAAATTTCGCTTATTGTAAATTGAAATGGCATTTTACTCTAATTTTTTTTTAAAAATTTTGAAGTAATCATACTCAAATTTTGAAATACAAACAAAAATTTTAATTATTAAATTTTCAAAAATCTTTCAAATTATATTCTTTTTTATGTATGGAAAATGAAGTAATATTAAAATTTTGTTACTTTCTGTAAATTTAATGAAATCAAGATAGATTGATTATATATTAATTAATTTTCTGTTTATTTTCACTTTAGAAAATCACTTTCCAAATTAAAAATAATTGAATAAATATACAATATTTGCTTTGATTGAATTATGAATTTATATAAATTTAGAAATTATTTATTAAGTAAATGTAGAAAGTGAGTTTTAGTGGCAGCACTAAATTCATACATGATAATTAAAATTTGAATTATGAATGTGAAATTTAAATAATAATATGTAATGTCAAAATAACTACAAATTTATGAATTCAGGTTTTTTTTAGCAGCAGAGGCAGCTAAATGCCTTAAGAATTAATTTACTTTTTAAAGTTAGAAAAACAACCACTCTCTCTTAAAGGAAATCAAAGATATAAATATTTATATATTTCCTCTTTTTCTATTTAAAAACAATAAAATATTTAAAATATTTTAATATTTTTCGGGGTATTATCTCTACTATAAACACTTTTCTTATTATACTTTAAAGCTATTTTTGAGGTTAATATATAATCTATAAGAATAATACTAAGATGGTCGCTAATTAATAATTTAAAAAACTCTGTTGACAATACTCACATGATTGGAAATTGATATTAGTATTATACTGTATTTATTTATAGAACTCTTTGTAATGCTCACTTGGTTATAATTGATTTATTTTTTAATATAAAATTTATTTAAATGTTTTCACTATCACAAAATCCTCATTTATGGATTCAACTTTTAATGAAATGAAATAAAAACTTAAGACTCATTCTATTTTAATCTTGGCATATTAAACTCTAAATTCAATAATTTTTTGACCAGAAAATGAATAAATAATTAATTAAAAGTAAAACTAAACAAAATTAACATTTGTATTAAATAAAATAATGTAAGTAACATTCTTATTATAGGCTATCAAATATATAGATATCTATGGAGTCCCTGTTGGAGTCAACTTTAAAAGTAAGGAAGTATATAAAACCATTTTTGGTGCGTTTATCTCTGCAGTCATTTTCATTCTTATAATGCTTTAAACCTACTACTCGGGATAAGAATTAATAACTAGAAATAATCCCTAAGTCATCACCAGTGAATAATATGTCCGTAACCCTGAGAGAATGGTTTTCGATAACGTGCAGCAGGTAGTTATGATGGGTTTCAATACTCCTTCTAGCTAGTACATCAGTAATTCATCTATAATTTAAGTATCTGCTACTTTATCAACTGTAACGAAGGTTTTGAACTAAACCACTTAATAATATGATGCTGTGACTACAGCAATTCCCCTAAGAATAAGACCCTGCACTATTAATGACGTTAAAGTTGAAAAGCTTTAAGATTTCTTTAGCAAACTTCCTCTCAGTAACTTGTTTTGTTTTGATGATAACTAGCAAATCTATGTAGAGGGTGATTACTCTGGAGATTTCTACTCCAGGGTTGATGTTTCTTTTAATTAATGTGTTAATTCTACTAAACCAGGGTCAGTTATTTGCTAACCTCAAAAATAAATTGATAAAGTATTATCCAATGTTAGTTTTTTAGTTTATATGATTGATAAAATATTAGATCCAAATAATTTTGAACAACCTTTTGATTATTAAGGATTCAACATATAAGCACAAGCAACAAATCAGCAATCATAAGCTTATACTGCTTATTTTGAGAATTACTACATAGAATCAGATGTAGGACTAATACAAAAAAATATTAAGAAAACGAAAGACTTTAAATTTGTTGGAACAGATACAACAATCATTTATAATAATCCTAGTCTTGTGATAAAGTTTTCAATGAGACCTTACAAAAATAAGCAATAACTAATTTAAAGATGGTACATGAAGCTTACTGATTTAATTGTTTAAGTAGGTGGTGTGCTTAAGTTTCTTACTGTTGCTGGATTTATACTTTGCCACCCTTACGCAAAACTAAATTTAACTAAAGATGTTATCAATAGCGTTTTTGACTTTGAAGAATATAAAAAAGATAACTTTACAACAAAATAAAATTTTGCTTCAGATTAGAAAGAAATAAAGCATGGTGAATAGGAGAGTTTTTAATTAGATTCAATAATAATGAAAAAACTATCAAAAGAGCAGATTTAAAATATTCAAAATTCTTTGAGTTTATCACAAAAAACAAATCCTCCATCTCCATCCATAATAAGGTAAAAAAAGTGTGATTAAATTGAACAAAAGTAAAAACTAAGATTTAGGAAAAAATCTAATTAAATGGATTCCTCTTAACACAATTATAATAAATAGTTTATTAAATAAGAAATTGGTGATCAGTCCTAGCGAACTTAATTGCTAGAGTAACCAAATACTTAAATTTCAAAATCATAATAACAACTTTATAATTCTATTTAGTAAACATCGCCTTAAAATTAAATAGATATAAAAAATAAAGAGGAAATAGAAAAGTAAAATGATAACAAGAGCGAACAAGAAGAGAATCTGTTTAAAACTAGAATAATAAATAGAATTTACAAATTAATAAACCCCTTGAAATAAAATTTTTAATTGAAAATGAAAGATTATTTAAGTTATTTTTCAAACTGTTCTTAAAACAAAACTAATTTGATGGATAAGGGTATTAAAAAAATCAACTATCGCTTAGACATTCAAAATATTCTTCATTAACTCTAAGAGATTGAAAAGCTCAAGAAAATTGTACTTGATGAAGATTAAATAAAGCTGTTTGAAATTTTGCCAAGACCTGTTTTGAAAAATAGTTAAAGTAAAATATAAACAGATACTAAAAACTAGTTTTTTGAAACCAAGAATCAATCCGAAGAAGAAAAAGCAAATGAGGTTTATAATAGTTTGTGTAACATCTTAAATAAGCAGAAAAAATCCTAAAGAGATTTACAGCTAATTTAGCTTTTGGACAATAATATGTATTTGTCTCTTTAAAAATATGGTCTATTATGCAATAGAAGCGAAGTTCCTCTCGAAAGCAAATATCTTGATGCTGATGAAGTTGTAGAATGCCCCAACATATTAAACTAACTGTCATCATAATTGATTAAATCTTCATATAATAATTAGCTTTAATCTGAATAAAATTAAGAGACAAATTCTTTTGCTGATAAATTTGAAATTTAAGAAGAAGGAATAAAATCTGACTTTTACTTCAAGTTTTACCAAAGATCTAAGAAAAATTCATTAAATTTATCTTGAAATTATTTATGGATTATCTTTATATATTTACAAGTTGGTTTATTATTAATTTTCAACTTTTTTTTCTTTTTTAGTGAAAATTTTCAATAATCAAAAACATATATGCATTTGTAATTGTGAAATCTTAGAAAATTATATTATTTCAATGAATTAAATAAATTTATGCATGTGCAATTGTGAAATCTTAGAAAATTCAGATGTGCTTTAACAATCACCCATTATTTTTTTAATATTTAGACATAAGTTTTCTCACAAACAAAATTTATTTATTTTAAATGCAAATAGAAATTTGTTTAATGTTCATCTGATTCTTACTCGAATGATCGTTTTATTTGACTTGATTAATAAAAACACATGCATTTAAACTACTGGCTATAATTTGAAAAAGTGAATACTTTTTTTTATTAAATTAGAAAATAACTAACTATTAATAGCTATTTAAAATTTTGTAATTTACTGATTACATGATGTAAAAGATAGGCATATTTTTATGCATTTAAAAATAAAATAAATGCGTTCATTCATTTTAGCCTAATTCAAAATTCAATAATTCACAGAATTGTTTTTTTATTTATTTATGTAGAGTGAGAGTAAATATTTTTTACAAATATAATAAACAATCAATTTGCTTTTATTTTATTTACAAATATTATCATTACTTTTATTAAATATATATTTTTCAATTTAGTAATCTTTAAATCGTACCGCTGATCTTAATTAATTAAATAATTAATAACCATATTTTTATTGATTAATTAATAAATATTTTAACATAAAGTTAGGTCTTTTAGCTAAAAAGTCTAAAATCCTATCTATAAATTAGAAAATAATTTAAGTATATCATTTTAAAACATTTAAATAGAGCTTTTAAGATGAATGATAATATTTTTAAATATATCATCTATCTTTTCTTTTTAGGTATCTTATTTTGTATGTTATTTATAATAATATTTTCTTATTTAGATGTAAGTATAGATCTAAAAAATAATACAGCTCATATGATTACATAATTCAGATTTCAAATTGAGATTCTAGCGTGCACTATTAATAAATCAGTATTATTTGCGTTATGCCTATTTTGATAAAATTTTCAATTATTGTATGTAAAATTAAGATTGATATATACGACTATCATATTTATAGCAAGTCGTATTATAAGTAAATTTTATATATGATAAAGCACGATGTAAATACTAAATAACGATAATAAAATTTTTTGATAACTAATCTCTATTAATTGTAGAAAAATTATATTGGATTTTACTAAAAGATTTTATTTTTTAAATGATTTACAGTTTATGTAAATCTCATAAATATTAAATAAATATTCACTTATTCATTCATTCATTTTAAGTTCTCTTTGTATATTTTAAGAACAAAACTATCTCAGTTAACTCAATAAAATGAGGGAAGAGTATTCAGGTTTTAAAATTTTACTTAAAAGACTAGTTATAAAATATAAAATGAGTTATTAACTGTATTAATTAATTAATTATTTATTTATTTATAATTACAAATCTAGTAAATAATAAAATTTCAGAAAACATAAGATAAATATACTTACTTCTTAATAATTTTACCACAATATTTAATGAAATTCAGTGAATAAAAATTTTTAATATTTATTCAAGCAATCTTAAGTAATGGAATCAATTTTTCTTATGACATATATTAAACATATGGACTTTTGCTAATATAAAAAATACTATTTTATCTTGTTTAATTAAAATACCATAAAAATATGGAAGGATTACTTTTTGAAAATAATACTAATTTAACAGTAGATTTCTAAAAAATACATTTTTTATTTTTCATAGAAAATTACATTATCTTAAGTTTAAAGAAATGTTTAATACTTTAATTTAATTCATGCTTAATAAAGTTAAACAGCTTTATTTACAAATAAATCAATCAATGAAGAAAATCATTTGTGTCATAGGAAGTGCTTAATTTAAATGCTCATAACGAATTCTTTTAAAATAATTAATTCTTTTTAAAATTAAACAAACTAAAAATCTTTTTATTTGAAATTAACAAAGACTTTTTCAAATTCTTACTAAACATGAAAGCTCAAATATTTTTTGATTCAATGAAGAATTTTGATATCTATGGGGTTCCTGTTGGAGTCAACTTTAACAATCAATAAATTCATAAAACGTCTTTCGGAGCGATTATTTCATTGTTTGTCTTTATTGCATTTGGGTTATAATTTTATTAAACAGGCTAAGAACTCTTTGACAGAAACAATCCTTAGATAATTACCAGTGAATAATATGTTCGCAATCCTCAAAGAATGGATTTCGATAAAAAATAATAAACTTTAATGATGGGCTTTAGCACAACATCAAGCAAATACATCTCTGATCCATCAATAATTTAAGTAAATGCAACCCTATCAACAATCAAAAATGTATTTAATGAAACTAGCTAATCTTATTCAAAATAAACTACACAAATTCCTTTAAGAATTAGAGCTTGTAAAATAGAAGATATTTAAGTTGGCAAACTCAAATCCTTTTTTAATCTTTTGCCTTTAAACTAAATGTTTTGTTTTGATGACAACTAAGAGGTTTTTATAGAAGGAGATTACTCTGGTGATATATACACAAGAGTGGATGTAGTATTTAACTAATGCGTTAACTCAACTCTCAATAATTCAGTTGTATGCTAACCTCAAAAAAAGATTGATTTAGCTCTATCAAATGTTAGCTTTTTAGTTTATATGATCGATAAAATACTTGATCCTAGTAATTTTGAAAATCCTTTTGACTATTAAGGAATAAATATTTAATCGTAAGCGTCTAATTAACATCCTATATAATACACAGCTTATTTTGAAAATTACTACATAGAATCTGATGTGGGTTTAATTTAGAAGGATGTTTAAAAGGAAAGAGATTTCATTTTTACTGGAACAGATAATACTATTATGTACAACAATCCTAATCTTGTGATGAAATTTACAATGAGGCCATATAAAAATAAATAGATCCTAATGCAGAGAAAGTACATGAAATTTACTGATCTATTTGCTCAGTTAGGTGGATTACTTAAATTTCTAACTATGATTGGATTTATTTTAGCTCATCCATTTGCGAAGCTCCATTTGAATAAAGAAATAATAAACAGTGTATTCGATTTTGAATTCTTTTCAAAAGACTGCTAAAAAAGTGGTATCATTCAACATTTGAAATAAAAAAATGAATAAAAAATTATGGATACTTAAGAAAAAAATCTATCACCTTAAAACATTTAAACAACCTAATATTAGTAAAACTAAAATACTGAATAAATGAATTTAAAGTTAAAACAAATCCTAAAAAGCAAATCTCCTATTGAAAAAAGGTAGTCGAATTTTAGTAGAAATTTTGAAAATTTTTCCTAAAAAGCTAACTCTGACTCAGAAGAATCACACAATTTTAGCTTAGGAATATCTAAATTGATGTAATCTTAGTACTCTCCTATGAGAAAAAATTCGGTATTCAGATAAATAAAAGTAGATAGACCAATACAGAGATAATTAAGTAAATCTATTTAACTGTCAGAGGGCAATAACAAAGTAAAAGAGCAATAGATAACTGAAAATGTATAAATTTTAGGATAAATCATAAGCAATATCTAAAGATTGTTAAATCCCATCAAAGAGTTTATCAAGTTATCACCCTTTTAATATATCTCTTACTTTTTTTTTAGCCACTCTAAGAAATCGCAAGAAGATAAGGCTTTGATCAAAGAAGGCATTAAAAAAGTCCAAAGCCGCTTAGATATTTAGCATATACTACATAAACTGTAAGAGATAGAAAAGTTAAAGCAGATTGTGCTGGATTAAGATCAAATTAAACTGTTTGAAATTTTGCCAAGACCTGTTTTAAGTAACAGCCAGTAATTAACAGAATAAAAGCAGTCAAATTAATATTACGAAACTAAAAAAAAGACATATGAAGAAAAAGTAGAAGAAGCTTGCAGTAGCTTAATAAATATATTAAACAAACCAAAAAAATCACAGCGAGATATCTAATTAATTTAATTGTTAGACAGTAACATTTACAAAATTATATAACAATCAGAACAAGCGCAGGAAAGAAACCCCCCTTTTATGACAGAAGATTTCAGCAGCAAATATAATCAAAATGATGAAATATTAGAAAATAATAACCAATAATAAATAAATACACTTCGATTGAAGGAATCAAATACATTGCTTAAATTTTAAAATTAAAATCAAGATCTTGAGATGTTTTCATAAAAAACAGAAATCTCAGATGAAATTGGAGTTAAAACTGATTATTATTTTAATTTTTATAAAAAATGTAATAAGAATTCTTTAAATATTTCTTGATATGTATCTATTTTTATTCTTAAATAATTTTATATATATTGTAATATATCACATTTATTTACTAATGAAATTTAAACTTTTTTATAAGGATTTCAGAAAAACGAATAAGTACAAAAAAAGGCTTAATGTTTTTAATTTTTTTCTTTGCTCCCCTTGTATAAAAAAAGCATTGTTAAATTTGATAAAAAAATTGACTTCAAAAATCCGAATTTTATAACAGAAATACATCTTTATATTTTTCATGTAATATTAATGAAAATAGAGATGATTCGATCGATAACTTTCAAGAACAATTTTAAAAAAGTTAAGATGAAATAAATATCTAAATAACTAACTAGTATTAAAATAACTTAAGGTAAAACTAAAAAAAGTAAGATACTTAAATTTATACATAATATAATATAAAATTGAATAAAAATAACTCAATATTCATAAATTGGATAAAAATAATCCTTAATTCACATTTAAATTATAGTTAAAATGTAGAATGATTAAGAATTATAATTATTTTACTTGTTTTTACTTGGTTACCATATTAAATTAAAATGAATTATGATTATAATAATTTACTTACTGGCTTTATTTAATTCTTTAAACAATTTACTTAAAATTCTTCGTTTTTAATATTCACTTTTTGATTTTTTTTGCAGGTAAATATTGATTGATTGATTGATTAAAATATCTTTTCTTAGTTCAAATAAAAGTAGTATAATTAAGTAGCCGTCTGTCTGCATATAAAAATAGTATTTTTTTGTATTATTTAATCAACTAACTCAATTTTTTAAAATAAAAAACCATTTATTTTTAATGAAATCAACTTTATTCTATAAATAATTCCAATAAAATGTTTTATTTTTTGTAAGATAAAAGAATAAATTAATTAAAAATGAATGAATATAAATTTTTGTATTTAAATGTTAAGTTTGTATTCATTAATTTAAGGAAAAAGCAGTAGAAATAAATATCCAAAAAATACTTAAGGCTTTAATACTTTAACTTGAAACAAAAGAAAAAAAAATATGTTTTTTTATCTTAGAACATGAATTAATAAGCGTAACTAAGAAAATAAATTATTTTATCTTACAAAAAATTTTTAATGTCAATAAAGATAAAAAATAGTTTGTCGAAGTCAGTATTTATTAGTTAAAAATACATCAAGTAAATAAATAAACGATTATTTACTAACTAAAGCATATACTATAACTTAGATATAGCTAAGATATTAAAAGTTAAAATTCTTTCTTCGTGTTTTAAAAAATACAGATTATTTTAACTAGGAAATTTTATTAAGTGATAGGAAAATAAATAAATTATTAGTTTAAGTAGGCTATCTAGTTGACTGATAAGCTGACTCAGATTTGCGTTTTATTAAATTATGTTGAAAAATTATTGCAAACATAAATAAAAATAGGGTTTATATAGCAATAAAAACAGGAATCTTATTGAATAAAATTTCTATTAAGAAGGTAGCCATTTGCATGGTAAAACATCTAAGATTTGTACTATATAGTTTATTTATTGGCAACCTTATCAAATCTATTGTTATAGTGCTGTTATATATTTTTAATTAATTGGTTTCTTAATGGACTGATTTTTCAGTGGATTTAGATAGAATGAATCTAAAGATTGTTTTTTGTTTTTGAACTAATAGCATAATTAACTTTTTTTTGAATGAAATTTAAGTAAATAAATATCATTCATTATGATAAATATATATATATTATTTATTCAAATAAATATATTTTATTTTAATTTCATAAAATATTTATAAATTATTTTTTAAATGCTTTTATTTATTTAATTGCATTTTATTACAAAAATACACTTTATTGATAAATAAACAAACAAACAAACTAGATAAAAAAATACAAAATTAGTTTTAATATCTCGATTTTACTTACTGCCAAAAATCTCTTAATTTTTAATTTGGTTAAAGTCATACAAATTTATATAGTAAATTAGCAGCATATTATAAAGATATAAATGATTATTTTCAAAAACTTTGTTAATTTAAGTAAACAACCATATTTCCTATTTTTAATAATAATTAACTAAATAAAACAAGTATAAAAATAATTATTTTGGAAATAAAACCTTATTTTTATCTATAAAATACAAATGAAAAGTGGTTATAATTTATTTAGCTCATTAAAAAAAATAGATATGTATGGAGTCCCTGTTGGAGTCAACTTTAATAATCAGTAAACTCATAAAACATATTTTGGAGCTATTATTTCGTTTTTGGTTTTTATTGCATCAAGCTTATCATTTTACTAAACAGGACAAGATCTCTTTTACAAAAATAATCCTTAGATAATTACTAGTGAATAATATGTTCGCAACCCACAAAGAATGAATTTTGATAAAAAGTAATAAACCGTAATGATGGGCTTTAGCACAACATAAAGCAAATATATTTATGATCCTTCAATAATTTAAGTAAATGCAACATTATCAACTGTTAAAAATGTTTATAATGAAACTAGCTAATCTTATTACAAATAAAATTAAAAAATTCCTTTAAGAATTAGAGCTTGTAAAATATAAGATATTTAAGTTGAAAAAGTCAAATCCTTTTTTAATCTTCTACCATTAAACTAAATGTTTTGTTTTGATGACAACTAAGAAGTTTTTATAGAAGGGGATTACTCTGGTGATATATACACAAGAGTGGATGTAGTATTTAACTAATGCGTTAACTCAACTCTCAATAATTCAGTTGTATGCTAACCTTAAAAGCAAATTGATATTGCCTTATCAAATATTAGCTTTTTGGTTTACATGATAGACAAAATAGTAGATCCAAGTAATTTCTAAAATCCTTTCGATTATCAGGGATTCAATATTTAAACATAGGCATCAAATTAAAATCCAATTCAGTACACTAGTTATTTTGAAAATTACTACATAGAATCTGATGTGGGTTTAATTTAGAAGGATGTTTAAAAGGAAAGAGATTTCATTTTTACTGGAACAGATACTACTATTATGTACAATAATCCAAACCTTGTAATGAAATTTACTATGAGACCATATAAAAATAAGCAGATCATAATGCAGAGAAAGTACATGAAATTTACTGATTTATTTGCTTAATTAGGTGGTTTACTTAAATTTCTATCTATGATTGGATTTGTTATATCTCATCCCTTTGCTAAACTCCATTTGAATAAAGAAATTATAAACAGTGTATTCGATTTAGACTTTCTTTAAAGGAATAAAACTGATGATATCAAAGATAATGATTGCGATGATAAAAATAGTAATTAAAAGAATTTAATTTCTTTAAACTAATAAACTATGTTAAATTTATAAAATGGTAAAAATTAAGACTAAATTTTGAAGTTTGAAGATATGGATAAGATTTCAAGTATATAAGATAAAAAACCATAGCTGAATGCATAAACTAGTAAAAACCAATATGGATTTTCATTAATAAATGAGAGATCAAACATACGTTGTGAAGAATCTCCAAATTTTAATCTAAGAGCATCTAGATTTACTTAATAATCAATCTAGAGTTCTCCATATAGAAAAAATTCTATAGCAAATAAGATATTTAGTTAATTAAAGGCTGATAGAATAATTTAAAAGCAAAGAAGCAAATCTTTTATCTAATTAGAAAGCCAAAATCAGTCAATTTGCTAATAAGCTGCTGCTGAATAAGCATAGTTCTTAGAATAAATTCTTAAAAATATCTAAAAATTATTAAATCCTATTAGAAATATTATCAAGTTATCTCCATTTTAATATATTTCTTACTTCTTCTTTAGATACTCCAGCAAATAAAAAGTAAACAAAGCATTGATAGAAGAAGGTATAAGAAAGGTTTAAAGCAGATTAGATATTTAACACATCTTACATAAGCTTCAAGAGATAGAAAAGTTAAAGCAAATAGTTCTGAACGAAGATTAAATTAAGCTATTCGAAATTTTACCCAGACCCATATTAAGTAGCAGTCAGACTCCTAAATAAAATTAATAGTAGAATTAATTCTACAACACTGAAAAAAAATCATATGAAGAAAAAGTAGACGACGCTTATAATAGCTTAATAAATATATTAAACAAAACAAAAAAATCACAAAGGGATATCTAATTAATATAATTGTTAGACAGTAACATATACAAAATTATATAATAATCAGAACTAGGGCAAGAAAAGAACTCCATTTTGAAAGAAGATTTCAGCAAATTCTACCAAAATTATGAACAATTAGAAAACAAGAGTTAAATGAATATAAATATGTTTCCAATATGCAAAGAACTAAATTTATAAAAATTTGAAAGCTAAAAAGAAGATCTAGAGCAGAATTCATACAAAACAGAACATTCTGATGAAGCTGGAATTTAAACAGATATTTACTTTAATTTTCCTCATTAATACAAAAAAAAATCACTAAACAATTCTTGAATTAATTTAAACCTAATTTTTTGTTAACTTACTTACTTATTGAGTTTTACAAAAAACATAAATAAATTATCTATACAAAAGAATTTGATATCATAACCTTTATTTATTTATTTATCAATTAATATTTTATGACTTACTTACTTACTAATTGTTTGATTAAAATCTCTTCAAATTTCTTTTTCACGCATTAACTTAAAATCTGTATGTAAATTAATTTGTAAACTGAAATTACTTCAATTGAATTTTTAGTTGTAAGTAAGTTTTATGGACAAATAGAAATATTAATATTTATTTAAATAGTTATGACAAAATTATATGTATTTTATTCAACATATTTAAATTATTCATCTTATGTCTTCAACTTAAGTTAATATTAATCCTTATAATTTTATTTATTTATTTATTTGTTTTTATAAATTAGCAATAAGAACATTTATTGAAAACAGAAGAAGCATAAAAATTAAAAAATGACGTCTTTCTTAATATAATTAATTGAAAATAAATATTTATTAGTGTTGGCTACAATAAAGTTACTTCAAAAATAAATTCAACAAAAAATTCTGGTTTTATTAAAATTATATTATTGTATGCAATTAATTATCTAATTATGGAAAGTAAGTTTTATAAATAAATTTAAAAATTTTAAAATTTCTAAGTTATAGAGATTGAAGTTAACTTGTTTGTGGATATTCATGAATAGATAATAAATAACCTATATAATTAATTAATTATCGATAATAAACTAACTATTAATTAATTCAGAAGTTTTTAATACACAGCTATCCAAATTAGAATAAATAACTTTTAAATATTGACTGACTTGCTTTAGTTTATATTACCTTAAAATTTTCCTTAAATTAATTAACTTTTCGATTGCATTCAACTTTTATTACATTAAAAGGAGTAATTTAACTTCAATAGCATTATTTACCTTAAAATTATATACATTGTTTAAAATTTATAATAAAAATATTTCCAAAGCTTGATTTACTAAATTCTTTAACAGTATTAAATAAATAAGTATTCATTTTTTTATATTAGTATTTAATTTTCCCTATTAAAGTTATTTGTTGTCTGTCTCTCAAAACAAACTTTTAGCAAACATGAAATAGATTTATATATAATTAATTATAGATTTATTTCTTCATTTTTAATGGATTCATTTTTCAAGTAAATTGATTTTTTAGCTAAAATTTATTTATTGTTACTGAATTTGATTTCTTTTGTTTGTTTAATAGGAATTTGATAATAAAGATAAAAATTATCTTCCTTCCTTTCTTTCTATTTTTTTTTTCTACAATCGAATTTTTTTTTTCTACAATGAAACTTTGTAAAAGTTGAATTTTTAAAATAAAATATTCAAAAGTAAAAGCATTAGAATGATTTAAAATAATTACATACGCTTTTAAATTTAATTTTTTTCAAATAAACGCTTTATTTAACATTTGATTTTGTAATTTTTCAATGAAAACTGTTTTAGATAAAATTTAACTTATTATCAATCATTTTGCTATGTTCTTTACTATTTTTTAGAGATAGAAATAATTTCTATAAGCTTATAATTCATTAAATTTTAAGAAAAACCAATTAAAATAGTTTTAATTATATAAAAAAGAAGAAATAGAGAAATTCGAGTAATATTTATCACAATTAAATGCTTGTATTCTGATTTATTATCAGTTATAATAAATTAATTTAAGTAAAAAATTACTGATTTTTGATAAACAATAAACCTCCAAATTTTTAATAATAAGTAATAGCTATATTTCTAACTCATGAAAGCTAATTAATTGCTAGATGCCATTAAAAGTGTTGACATTTACGGAGTTCCTATTGGGGTTAATTTCAAAAACGAGTAAACCTATAAAACACTATTTGGAGCTATGATGTCTATTTCTATATTTATTCTTTTTGGGTTTTAGTGTTATCTTTCTTGCTAAGCACTATTTAATAAGAGTGATCCTTAAATAATAACAAGCGAGTAATATGTGCGTAACCCTCAAAGAATGGACTTCGACAAAGTACAGTAAACAGTTATGATGGGATTTAGTACGCCTTAAAGCTAATTCCTTAATGATCCTACAATTTTTTAAGTATCTGCTGTTCAATCAAGTATTAGAAATATTTATAACCAAACTTCTAAGGGTTATGATAAAATTTAACAGAACACACCTTTAAGGATAAGACCTTGCACTATTGATGATGTAAAAGTAGAAAAAGTTAAAAATTACTTCAGTAGTCTAAAACTAAATTAACTCTTTTGTTTTGATGATAACTAAGAAGTCTACATTGAAGGAGACTATTCTGGTGATATCTACTCTAGAGTCGATGTTTACTTCACTCAATGCGTAAATTCAACATCAAATAACCAAATAGTGTGCAAGCCTCAAAAATAAATTGATAAGGTTCTCTCAAATGTAAGTTTTCTTGTTTATATGATGGATAAAATATTAGATCCTAGCAATTTCGATAGTCCATTTGACATCTAAGGATTTAACTTATAAGCATAAGCTTCAAATCAGCAGTCATAGCAATACACAGCTTATTTTGAAAATTATTACATAGATTCAGATATTGGCATCATATCATAAGAGATTGAAAAAAAGAGAGATTTTATATTTAAAAATACAGACACAACAATTATTTATAATAAACCTTCGCTGGTTATGTAATTCACAATGAGACCCTATAAAAATAAGCAAATGTTTATGCTCAGAAAATATGTTAAATTTACTGATTTAATTTCTTAGTTGGGAGGATTTCTCAAATTTTTAACGCTTATAGGGTTTATTTTATCACATCCCTTTGCTAAATTATACTTGAATAAAGAAATAATTAACAGTGTCTTTGATTTCTAAATCTACTAAAGTATGAGTGATTAATAAGATAATGCTGATGCTTAAAAAATTAATAATTAGAATGCAATTAATTCAGAATTAATAAGCAAAGAAAAGAATGTTACTGATCAAATTTAATCTGATTAATTAAATCTATAAATTGGGTAGAAAAATGCTCCTTCTTCAGAAAAATCTAAATTAAAAATTATATAAGAAAAAAAAAGACAATCGATATTTCAGTATTAATAGCAGCATTTGTTAAGATAATCTTACAGCGATTAACTTAACAGTAAAATTTTATAAGTAAAAAGCACCTAAGAATAAAATAAACTTGCTCATAATAGCGAGGATGCTCAAAATGTGACATTGGGTTTACCTAAAAGCTCAATATCATAGATAATAACTTCACCTTTGATTTAGCCAATTAGTAAAAATACTACATTTAACGTTTTAAAACTAGACTCGATCAAATAAAAATGTTTAAGTCATACAGTGCTCAGTGAAAGTGATGCTCATAAAAACGATAAATAGAGCTCTGATAATTTATAATTATAGACTTAAATGTTAACGAGCATTCAAAAACTGCTAAATCCTATCAAAAATATTTTAAGATTATCTCCTTTCGAATATATTTCTTATTTTATCACCCAATTTTCTAAAAATATGAAGCAAAAAAAAATATTAATAGAACAAGGAGTTAAGAAAGTTTAAAATCGTTTAGATATTTAAAATATTCTTAATAAACTTTAAGAAATAGAAAAACTGAAATTAATTCTTTTAAATGAAGATTAAATAAAGTTATTCGAAATTTTACCAAGACCTGTTTTAAAAAATGATGGAAATAGTACCTCAAAGCATTAGTCAAACTAATTTTACAATACTGTGCACAAAACTTATGAGCAAAAAGTGGATGACGCATATGGAAGTCTCATCAAAATTTTAAGCAAAAATAAAAAATCGTAAAGAGATATTTAATTGATTTAGCTTTTAGATGAAAATATTTACAAAGCTGTAAACAGTTCTGGCCTTTTAACTGAAAAAGAAAGTAACTAGAAATAAGAATAAAGTAAATATAATTATTCAGATGAAATATTGGAAGAAAATAATTAAATAAAGTCATCTAATAACTCTATTTTCTTCAAGCAAAAAAGTAGAACTAGCAAAGATTTTGATGAAAATGAAGAAGATTCAGATTAATTATCACCTAAAAGTTAAATTCCTGAAGAAAATAAAATGAAAAATATTTATTAAAACTTTTATAGGCAACTAAAAAGAAACTAATCATGCGCATCTTGATTTCCTCAAAAAAAGCAACTAATAGGAAAAATATTTTTATTTTAAAAAAATGTAAGATAATTAAATAATATTATTTGTAATTAATTATATTCATATATACATTCATAAATACAAACTAAGATTTATCTTTCATCTAAATCTGTTTTATTCCCTGATTATATATTGAGAATAAATTAGAAATAGTTAAATAATTTGATGTAGAAACTCATCCATTAAAAAAGACTGATCAATTTTAGTTTTAAAAACTGAAAATTTTACCTAACAAAATTAGGAATAGTAAGTAGATCGATCATCCATCCATTTATTATTTCTTAATAAAGGGAGGGCATAATATATAAATGCTTTAAAATAAATAAATTCTATTATGTGAAATTAGGTTCTGGTTTAGCAAATTGCATTAATCTCTCAAATTAGACTCTTTACCTTCTATAAAAACAGTTTATTTGTTTTGGATTGTGATATTTTGAATGATAAAAACTAATTAAAAACAATAAAGCTCTTTTTTCTTTTTATTTTTATAGTGCTTGCTTTTTTTTGTTCTTTCTTTGTTAATTAATTTAGCTCATCCTTTGATTTTCAAATTTTTACTTTTATTATTAATGAATTAATCTTATTATTTCATATTTTTTCTTCAATTTTTCTTTCAAATTAACTATTTTATGATATATTTTTTCTTAAATATTTAAAAAGTTGGAATTAAATTGGTGACAAAGGTGCATCAGGCTTAGGTTCTGGTTTAGCAAATTGCATTAATCTCTCAAATTTGACACTTAGCCTTGAGTAAAAACAGTTTATTTGTTTTGGATTGTGATATTTTGAATTATAAAAACTAATTAAAAACAATAAAGCTCTTTTTTCTTTTTCTTTTTATAGTGCTTGCTTTTTTTTGTTCTTTCTTTGTTAATTTATTTAGCTCATCCTTTGATTTTCAAATTTTTACTTTTATTATTAATGAATTAATCTTATTATTTCATATTTTTCTCCATTTATTCCTTCTAATTAACTACATAATGATATATTTTTTCTTCAATATTTAAAAAGTAATAATTAAATTGGTGGCGAAGGTGCATCAGGCTTAGGTTCTGGTTTAGCAAATTGCATTAATCTCTCAAATTTGACACTTAACCTTCAGTAAAAACAGTTTATTTGTTTTGGATTGTGATATTTTGAATTATAAAAACTAATTAAAAACAATAAAGCTCTTTTTTCTTTTTCTTTTTATTGTGCTTGCTTTTTTTTGTTCTTTCTTTGTTAATTTATTTAGCTCATCCTTTGATTTTCAAATTTTTACTTTTATTATTAATGAATTAATCTTATTATTTCATATTTTTCTTCATTTTTTCCTTCTAATTAACTATTTTATGATATATTTTTTCTTCAATATTTAAAAAGTAATAATTAAATTGGTGGCGAAGGTGCATCAGGCTTAGGTTCTGGTTTAGCAAATTGCATTAATCTCTCAAATTTGACACTTAACCTTGAGTAAAAACAGTTTATTTGTTTTGGATTGTGATATTTTGAATTATAAAAACTAATTAAAAACAATAAAGCTCTTTTTTCTTTTTCTTTTTATTGTGCTTGCTTTTTTTTGTTCTTTCTTTGTTAATTTATTTAGCTCATCCTTTGATTTTCAAATTTTTACTTTTATTATTAATGAATTAATCTTATTATTTCATATTTTTCTTCATTTTTTCCTTCTAATTAACTATTTTATGATATATTTTTTCTTCAATATTTAAATAGTAGTAATAAAATTGGTGACGAAGGTGCATCAGGCTTAGGTTCTGGTTTAGCAAATTGCATTAATCTCTCAAATTTGACACTTAACCTTCGGTAAAAACAGTTTATTTGTTTTGGATTGTGATATTTTGAATTATAAAAACTAATTAAAAACAATAAAGCTCTTTTTTCTTTTTCTTTTTATTGTGCTTGCTTTTTTTTGTTCTTTCTTTGTTAATTTATTTAGCTCATCCTTTGATTTTCAAATTTTTTACTTTTATTATTAATGAATTAATCTTATTATTTCATATTTTTTCTTCATTTATTCCTTCTAATTAA